GTGGCTGGAACAGCTCGATATGTCCGTAAGTCACGCGATGACTTTCTTTTCACTTATTACTCAATCGTTCAAAAAGACAAACTGACGATTTGGCATCTTTACAGCTTCAACCAAATCCATTTCGGGTGGATGTGCAAACATCCTGTATGGCAGCATTGGGATATTGCGTATACAAAGGCTGGAACTCAACAGAACAACTTAGAACTTTCTAGACGTCGGAAAACGGTGTGGGTGATTACTTCATTCTTGGCTATGTTTGCTCTTCTTGGGTATTATGGTAGATTACACTAGTCGCTGGAAACATTTAGACAGCAATTCACCAGGTAGAGGATGAACACACTATTCTCAAAAGTAATATTTTGCCCATACGAACGAATGGCTCTGGGCGTCTCACTTCTAAAGCTAAAATCCACGAATTGATACTCAGAGCTGTCCTGCGATCACCCTCTCTTTCCACCTTGCTCATGTAAATGACAATGTCCGTCTGCGTTCTTGAACACACTTTCTAGACCTGACACAGCTGTTTACCGAGCCTTGGTCTCGCTACGACACCGCACTCGCCCCACCATCGCTTCTTGTCTCTCTGGATGGAACGTTTCTGCCTACGACTACTTTAGTCGGGTTTTTACCGAGCTGTGTGCTCTAGTGCCTTCAATTGTCTCAGATGATAGCAGCATAGCCACGGAGTCCCGCTTCCAGGGCGAGCTGTCCATGAGCCCAGATTCTCGAATGCCGTATGCCGAGCAAAAGGAAGTCCACTTAGACAGGATGATGTGAGAATTGAAGCTAAGCGCCAAAAAGTAAGGCTGGTAATTCTGCAAACCCTTCTCATCTCTGCAGGTTCTCGTCTCGGCAGGGGTGTAGTGACCGGCACTAGTGGGGAGAATTGAACGCCGGGAAATCCTTCCCAGCGGGCCAACGGGAATCCTACGGAAGACCCAATTCTAGCTTAGTGCTCACAACTGACCGAAAAGATCAAACTTCCGCTTCTTTCTGACACAGTGTGACATTCAGGTAGTTGAATGGGGAAAGACTGTCATGAAGTTCGTTGCCCTGTATGATGTAATGGGAATCTTTGCAATTCGATGTGAGAGCGAGGAGCTTCGGCATGTGATTTCTTTCCCTTCCGTCATTGGCAGTGAAGTCTGGCAGTTACGTTGAAGGCTGCGGGTTCTGAATAACGTCGACAGCCAGTACAACGGTTTCAGAACGCGTGCTCGTTCGTGCGATATCCACGATGAACTCAACAGTCGAACACTGGCAACTCCAGTATGGCGTCGCGGGGCTGCCAAGGCTTCGTGCCTGGACCTTTGCGCAAGTTACCGCCTTATTCGCAGCCATCCTCATAGTGCGCTTCCTCGTGAAGCTCATCAGTCATCGCCGCATGTTCCAGCGCCTCCAACGACAAGGTCTGCCGATGCCTCCTCATGATTTCCTACTCGGTCATCTAGGGCTTGCGGCCAAGATCGCGAAAACCCTTCCGAGCGATTTTCACGGGCACTACTTGGCGGGCGAAATCAGGCGAGCGTATCCCGATCTCCCAGCTGTCTTCTACCTGGACCTGTGGCCGACTGGTCCCCCATTGATGGTGATGACCACAAGTCACGACCAGGCTAGAGTGACGGCGCATGAGCCGCAGCTTCCTAAACATGAGGGCGTGTTGGGATTCCTGAAGCCTCTCATCGGAAGCCATGGTCTCGTCACGATGGAGGGAGATGAGTGGCGGTACTGGCGGGGCGTTTTCAATCCTGGATTCAACGCGGCGCATCTTGTGACGCTGGTACCTGGTCTCGTTGAAAACACGCTGGTGTTGCATGAGATCCTGCGAGAGAGAGCAGCGGCCGGCGAGATCTTCTCATTGTTTGAGGCTATGTCGCGGTTGACCATGGACATGAGTTGTCTCGCAACATTGTGAGTCCGAAATCTCTCAAGACAACCATTGCAGCTATTCAATGACAGTTCTAACTTCATATTACAGAGGTTCTCGATTGAACGCCCAGAGGCAGGGCTGTGATCTTGTGTCAGCGTTTCGCAGCCAAGCTGACTGGATCCCATCCCCCAATGAGACGAATCTCTTCAGAAAGTTCAACCCTATAAGGCACTTGGTCTATCGCTACAATCGATGGAGGATGGATAGATATGTCTCGAGCGAGCTGGAGACGCACTTCGCTGCAATGCGATCTCAGGCGCAGCTTGGAGATTCCGGATCCGAGAAGACAAAGGCAGTCCCAAAAAGAAGCAAGGCAGTCGTCGACCTGGCGCTGGAAACATACCTACTCTCGGAAAAGAACAATGGGAATGCTGGCCAGAAGATGACTATGGATCCGACGTTCAAGCAATACGCTGTCTCACAGATGAAGCTTTTTCTCTTCGCTGGCTATGACACGACAGCTGCTGCGGTGGTCTATTCTATCCATCTCCTTTCGCTCCACCCAGCTGCCCTATCAAGAGCGCGCCAAGAGCACAACGATATCTTCGGAGCCGACAGCACCGTAAAGGAGACTGGAAATCGCATCGCCGAAGCCCCCCAGCTCCTCAATCGACTGGCATATACATCAGCCGTTATCAAGGAGGCTCTCCGGCTGTACCCACCCGTGTCCAGCACGCGTGCGTCTGGACCAGGCTTCACGGTATCAGAAACTGACAAGACAAATCTTGAAGGCTTCATGCTTTGGGGTGTGCATCACGCTATCCATCGAGCACCAGAGCACTGGGTGAGGCCGGACGATTTTGTCCCGGAACGCTGGCTGGCCTCTCCTGGTGACGAGCTGTACCCCGCGGATAAGGAGGCGTGGCGGCCGTTTGAGCGAGGGCCACGAAACTGCATCGGCCAAGAGCTAGCCTTACTGGAGGTGAAGGTAATCTTGGCTATGGTGCTGCGGGACTTTGACTTTGCGGATGCTTACGCCGAGTTCAACAAGACGATGGGCAGGACGGGTCCCACAGAAGTAGCAGGGGATCGTGCCTATCAGATCATCCACGGAAGCACTAAGCCCAACAACGGGTATCCTTGCAGGATCAAGCAAGCCACAAGTGTGTCTTGACTCTTAGGCAGTGATGGTGCTAGACTGGTAGACTAGACCACTCATGTATTGAACCATGTCTCAAAGAGTAAGCTGATTCTCTTACTACATAAACGTTGATTTGTGTGTCCCATGCTCAGCTATCTTGAAGCTTTTGCATCAACATTATTGTCCAGGCTCTTGTTCACACCATATTTGCTCACTTTAGGACTTGATCGACAAATAACACCGCCAACATGGCTCCTTCATCGATACACGTTGTCTTTCCGTTCATCACACTGGCTGGAATCTATGCGGTCTCAAATCTCATGATCAACTCTGGCCACGCTCAGCTATTCACCGATAGGCGAGCATCGGCAACGCCCTTACTCCCAGACAACAAAACACCCCTCCTGACAGTCTATACCGGGGTCCCGCCCCTGGACTCGTATCTCGCCAACCTGCAGTTCAGCATTATCCCCACAGTCGATGGCTCGTACCAGGCTTTATCCCTCCTAGGGTGGCACTGGATGGGTCTTCTCATAGCCGTTTTCACTGTCATGATAGTCGAGAGCTTACGAACGCGACGCGCAAGGGATCTCATTCCTTTCGCGCTCTGGGGTCTTGCCATACAGTATGCCGGCTACTTCATCATAATGCCCATGTACTGTTATGTATCTCTGCTCTCCCAGCCAATTAGGAGCAATTCGAGGCTACCGACCATGATTGCCATTCAAGCTGTCCCAGCATCGGTGCTGGTTGGGCTTGCGATTCCGTCGGTCATCATGTGCTTGCCGAGCAGCTATCTCCCCGGCCAGTCAAGACAAGTCGCTGTAGCTGTCTGGCAAAACTTCCCAGCGTGGATGGCCTTAGTCCAGGTGGTTGCCATGTCTTTGGTGGGAGCCATCCCGGCACGAAAACCGGAAGAACGCACTACCGAGGGCGGCGAACTCAGCCGTAACACGTCAGCTCTTCGAAGATTGTACAAAGCTACTGCCTTAGTCTCGGCTTTGATCCATGTCTTGGGTCTCATACCCATTGTCTCCGCTGCCATTGGCAAGCTGGAGCCTACACAAGGTTCGCCACATGCGCAGATGCGACCTGCCGATTTCTTCCTACCGCAGAGGTGGGATAATGAGACCCAGATTAGTGGGATGACAGAAGGCGCATTCAACTTTCTCCGATACGACTACTACATCGGTACCGCCGCGGCGTTCGCTTGGGTCGTATTTCTCCAGCCTTCGATGCGGGTAAAAGAGGATTATTGGTCGATTGGTAGAGAAGTGTCTTGGAATCTCACTCTCACATGCTTGTTTGGGCCTGGCTTCACTATCGTAAGCCTGATGGAACGGAGACTTCAATGAATACGGAGTCAGGATCTAGCCAGGCGGAGCATCTAATCCTTTAGCGCCATGTCCCTAGTTTGTCAATTCATCCACTTGGTAGTCTTATCTTCATGTATGACCTAGTCAACGGCCGACGGAGGTCGTCTCCGTCTCGGCTCGGGTCGTGTTCGTCTGAACCACGAGTTCGGTGTGGGGTCACGACATCTGGAACAGGACCAGGATCTCCATATTTTTCTATTCGCCAAGCTGTCAGCGTGGGATCCTTCGCCCTTCTCTAGATTCCACTGGATTCGCACTGTCCGCTTACACGGCAATTCAGTGATCAACAAGATTGTGGGGGTTCACCAATGCTACCTCGTCTTGCATGAAGGATGAGAGCCCGGGCCGCTGAAGATGCAACTAGATCCTTCGTCCCTTGCTAGATCTCGGAGCCCACAGGTACGCGCCGATTGGAGCGCTCGCAAGACAAGTAGCGATGCCCCTGGTCACCACACAGTCACCTACGTCCAATTCCAACTGTGTTATTCACCTCGGTCGTGGCTGTCCAAATTGAGAAGATCAAGAGGACAGCGCTCCATTTGCGCGACTTCTTCGTTTTTGACGCTCTACAGTCGAAACTTGAGTCCCTCGTTTGCAATCAGTGTGCGAAAAGATGTCCATTCTTCGACGCAAAGTGACGAGATTGGCTCCCCCTACAGTCTTGACCGATAAGGTTATCCCGGTTGACTACTGGGACCATCACTCTCGCGATGCTGTCCTCAACGTAATGCTGCGTTTCGACCGCCAACTGGATGCAGCCAAACTCCGAAGAGCTCTGGAAAACTTGCTTGACCGCCGGGATGGCTGGCGCAGGCTGGGTGGAAGGGTGCGGCTAGGTGTAAGTCCCCTGTAGCAATACAAGTTTCCCCCTATGATGCGCTTGACTAACTTGAATCCATAGCCTTCAAACAAGCTGTATTGGCATGTGCCTGACACATACACTGAGAAGCGGCCTGCAATCACCTTTCATCACAACCGTCACAACAACATCAGCATCAAGCAACATCCACTAGCATCTCGACTTCGGAGCAGAGTTTCATCGTCTTCTGGTGTTTCTCATGGCGCCTCTGTTCCTTGGATGGTGGAGCCAGGCAATGGCGTGGACTTCTCCCCCTTGATGCGACACCCAAGTGATCCTACTTGTTTCGAAGACTATGTCTATCACGATAAACCGATGATAGGCCTGCAAGTCACCACGTTCAACGACGCGACTTTGGTTTCATTAGGCTTCTCTCACATCATGTGGGATTGTATGGGACTTAAAGATCTCTTTGACGCATGGTCTCTCACTCTACAGGGACGCCATGAAGAGGTCATCCCATTGATTGGGACCGATCCTCTTGGGTCTTTGGGTGTCTCACCTGAGTCAACCAAAATGATAACAGGGGACGATGCAAGCAAACCAGCAGCATCTACTTTCCCTCCCGAACAATACCAGCACATCGATCGACAACTTGGAGTTGTTCAACTCGTTACGCTCGGTCTCCGGCAAGCACTCGACAAGCTGCTAAACAGAAACGCGGCTGAAGAGTTTAGGACAGTGTGTGTGCCCGCAGTATATGTTAAGTCTTTGCGCAAGGACGCACTCCAAGCTCTTGACGCCGAGAATGCTAGTTCGTCGGGCCTCCAAGTGTTAGAGAAGGGTCATAAGTCTCAGTTGACTCCAGCCACATTTTTGAGTGATGGTGATATTCTCTGTTCATGGTGGACACGCAACATCATTAGCTCACGCATCCGGAATCCCACCAAGAGCCGCAAAACCATCGCTATTCTAAACATGATGGGTCTGCGTGGCGTTCTGGCACAAGCAGGACGATTGCCCGAGCAAGGAGCACTGGTTGGTAACGCAATTTTACCTATTCCTGCTTTACTACCCGCGCGAGATCTTGTCAAAAAAGGTCCCCTGGGCTTTGGCCGTGTTGCGAAGGCGTTGAGAGAGGCTATTGCGCAGCTCAGCACGAGGCCGCAGGTTGAAGCTCTCTTGGCACTGCAGCGGCGTGCGCACGGGGATAAGGTGGATGGGAACGCCAACAAGAAGAAAGAGTCGGGCAACGGAAAAGCTGGGCTGCCTGCTCTCTTCGGCGATGCGGGCATGCACATGGTTGTGTGTACCAACTGGACCAAGGCCGAGTTCTTCGATGTTGACTTCTCGGCCGCGGCGGTTGACGAGATTGGTTGTGATGGGCTCTTTGAAAACGAGCGTGCTCGCCTTCCTGAGGCTTCTTTGAACGATACTGCCGCTAGCAGTGGCGCCGAAATGTTGAGCGCTATGGGTTGTGATGGACTCTGGGAGGACGAACATGCATCACGCCCTTCTGTCGCTCATCAATCCGATGCTCCTGCTTCTCGTGTGTTGGCAAAGCCGACTGGCGTTCACATGCACTTGATAACGGCGGGTACTCCTGCGTTTTTGATGAGTATCTTTACCATCTTAGGCCGCGATGCCAACGGAGATTACTGGATTCAAGGAATGCTACGAAAAAAATATTGGGCTAAAATTGAGGCAGCCCTAAATCTGAAGTAAATGCTTCGCTGGAGATGTAACTTCGAGTATAGATTCAGAATACTACATCAATAGACAACTTTCGGATTGGAATCAGAGAGAGTGATAATACCTAGTTGCGAGAGTGCGAAAGAATCACGAACGAGGAAGTGCGCCTTGATCAAATGATTCAGTCTAGAGGCATGATTGTGGACTATGAACTTTTCTAGAGTAAAGTAGGTAGGTACTCGCAATACCGCGAATGCTTTCGCCGAAGCCGTCTTTTCCAATGCCCTCGATGTACAGAGTATGTTAGCCAGGGCTTCCACGGTCTCCCTTAATGTTCCAGCTGGCGAAGTTGACAGACTGGCTTTCATAAGCAGTCAACTCAGCCTTGGTCTTAAAGCACTTGGCGTAAATGTCCAGAGTGTTATCGTTGGCCATTTTGGTGGGAATAACCATTTGCAGCGTCTGCCCGTGTCCCTCAATGTACGAGAAGCGAAGTGTTGAACTCGCACTGAAGCCGAAGTTTGCAATGTACTTGGCGATCACTTTCTCGCCATAGCCCCAGAGCTCCTTGGTCTTCGAGCTTCCCCAGAAGCAACTCTTGCTTGTGCAAAACTGCGGGATCCATAGTTTGGAGGCTGCATTGAAGCGGGCTTCATCTGCTTTGAATACACAGAACCAATTCTTCTTAATCGGTGAGCCTCGCCATCCCGCAGGTTCGGAGCCTATAGCTGAGTTAGATCCAAAGTATCTAGATAAGAGGGGTTTGGTTGAGCGGAAACCATGCTTGTTCTCACCTAAGTAAATGCCATTTCCGATCTGACTACCACCTGGCAAGTTGTCGAAGGCCGGATCTCTGAAAGGTTTATTTTTCGCGTTGATCTTCACCGCTTCTTCCTACAAGATGACGCTGTCGTTAGTGACATCCACGAATTGAATCTCTGAGGAGGAAAGGATAGGACTTACTTCGGCGGCCGTGCGATATCCGATCACCATTTTACCCTGGGTACCTACGATCAGGTATCCCAGGGCCAGCAACAGAAAAAGACGAGTGAAAAGAGTCATGACGATGTCTCGAATCTGAATTGTTGTGACTGAAGATCTGTTGACAACGAACTGATCTAACGTTCAGAATGCGGCGAAGGATCGTTGATTCTTATAAGCATTTCGCAGACCGGAACTTCGCCATGATCGATTCTTGGAGAGACGGACTTGCCGTAGCCAAGCCGTTCGGTCTATCTTTTCGAGATCGCCGTAATTGAGTTGATGCGACAATTTCAGGTTGCTGCAACTGTTCTCGCGAGAATTCGGTGAGTTCTCCTGAATGACTCAAGTTACCAGATTTGTTCCCATTGCTATAATTGACATGCTATGACTGAGTCAGGTTGCTTACCACGTTGTGTTGATTGACCCCCAAGCCCCTAACGGAAAATTCCTCGTTAATTACCTCTACGACCTCAAGTACCGCATAACACTTACCAAGCCCTAGCACTCGCGGCAACACTCTCCACCGTTCTCCGCTCTAGCCAAGACCAAAACCGATAACCTTGTCTTGAAGAGACAATTAAGGAAGTGCTTTATTGAACTTGCTCCAGTATTCAGCAAGTGGACAGGCCAAAGTAAACCCATATTACGCTTCTATTGTAGGCAACTGGTTTGACATATCCTTTCCTGTGCTGAGTGGCGATAATATGTACGTCCCCAGTTTCGGTCTGCCTCCAGTGTACTTCTGGATTTAGGGGTGTAGGGGAGAGCGTGGCGTATCGACATCTCATTGCTACATTGCTCTGAATAATTCGTTCTTTCTGTCCTTTGTCGAGGCCACTTAGCGGCCGGTGGGATCGCCATGAAAATCTGTTTTTAACTGAGTACCTATAGCAATCCAGTGGGGAAGCCAGATCACGAAATGGAGACCATCTACATTTACTCGCTCATCATCCTGTCGTGAAACAACCATACATATGATGAAAGATCAGTCATGGTTCGATTTACGTCATTCAATGAACGATATTTCTAGAGATAACTCAGGCAAATGAGCTCAGGACTGTATATTTCGATCTGAGACACTAACCGCGAGGCTGCCTCTTCCCAAGAAGACCCATTACATGTTTCCTGACCCTCAATTGAGAAAATGGCTTCGAAATGAGTCCAGCTTGATGGATTGTCGATTGGCATCGCCTCAACAAGCTCCACCTTCTTGAGTCGCTATCTGCTTAGTATGACAGGGTGAATTGGTGGGAACTGAAGAGTTGGATATTGTAGTATTTCATTGCTTGGAATTTGGCTCAAAAGTCTTCCTGTCTGGTCTACTATACGGACAGCTTAAAGCAGGCGTTCTGGAAGTATTTCGATGCTCTCATTTTCTCTAACCAAGGCAGCCAATGCACACACGCCAATCACCCGAACTTGGATTCCTTTCAGCGAGCAAAATCCCCATTGAGCATTTTCTGGGCTGACAAGACAAAATTCTTTCCAAAATCATTTCGATTTCGTCCTCCTTTTTCTCATCATGTTGAGATGTCTCGGCATCTTGCAGGGCTCCACGGCGTCATGCGAGGCTTACTGTTACCACGAGGCGGTGACAACGCGAACGAACACAACATCATTGGCCGAACCATGATCAGCTGTGTGTCCCTGCCCAATCCAGAATACCCTAAATTATATGCATATGTGCTTAAATGCACGATTGAGTTTGGTGGATGCTGAGGAAAGGGGCTTGAGGTGGAGAACTCAATGTAACAACTCTTTTTCAACCGATACAGTTGTTTGGACATATATTTCTCTGGCTCATTCGTAAATCTGGTTCTGACTTTTATCATCGCGTAACTAGTTTTTCCCTTGATGCAATACTTCAATATTTTTTCTTGTAAAGGGACAGCCCAGTCACGAACTTGGGCCAAATAGGAAACCTTTCGCCTGAGGGGTGACCAAGCTCTCCAATACCTGGCTCGTTTCTAGCCAGACCCTCCGCTGAAGTTCCAATCCGAGTGTCCTGCCATTATCAATTGGTATTAGCATAGCTTCTACTGTGTTTCACAGCTCATGGTTCTTAATGTCTTTGACGCTGAAGTGAAGGTTTCTCAACAGTTATTTGAGACCGTAGTAGTCACGGACTTACCTGTCCATGAACTCAGGGTACCTATGCCATGGCCAAATAATTAGCAAAAGTGTAAAGGATTCATCGTCGCGCATTTAGAAACCTTTGTCTGTGCAATTTATCGAGGAATGAAGGAGAAGACCGGCACTTACGGAGCAATATCGTAATCGATCAGCAACTTCCCATGCGAACCCATCAGTGGTAGGCATGAGTTCACAACGGTTCGTGCGCACATCTCTACGGGCCGACCAATGAACCAAAGCAGTAGTCTTCCGATGAGAATTTGTGAGCTGAGTGGTGTGAAGCAGGCACCAGGGTCCAGCTGGTGAAAGTGAATCCTCGGGTTGCTGCCGGAAAGATGGCGTGCGCAGAGCTCCCTGATCCAGCATGCGTGTATGATCTTTGCAAGCCCATATTGGTAGCTCTTCTGTGTAGCGGCGTCTTTGACATTACTGACCTGCTCTAGATAGCAGTCTTTTGCATCATCTGGGAGCTCGATCATCGGGGCTGCGGAGCGGATTGCCGCGCTGGTTAGACTGCAGAGCACCACTGGTTGAGTTTCTCCATCGGCTAGCATTTTGGGAAAGAGGAGTAAAATCAGAAGCGCCGATGACAGATGAATGAGTTGGAGAGCTAGACGAGCGTTGTTCATGTCAGGAAATCGAGTCTGTAGAGACAACAGTGCTTTCAGTTTGGGGCGCTGGGTCTATCAGAGGAGACTCACTCTCTTCCCACCCATCTGCCGTCATTCTAGTCTCATCGTTCATGATAGCAGAACCCATGACCACCACATCGATACGGTTCTGTAAATTGTCGATTCTGGTCGCAAAAGTCTTGACACTATCAAATGACAAGAGGTCTACTTCCATCACGGTGATTTTTGGCTGATGGCGAGAGCCATCTTCGATTGCTTTCCTAAGTTCATCAGCCAACAATTCGCCCTTTGCAACATTTCGGACTGCCAAAATGAGAGTCGAGACACTGAGGCTGGTAAGAATGCGGGCCGCTTCTGAGAGGATTGCGCCGGTGGCGCCAACGAGGAGGACTGTCTTTCCTCCGAAGCTTGTCGTAGGGGGTGCAAGGTCCGCCTTTGCCTGTCGGCGGAAGGTGGCCCATGGAAAGACTTCCGAGAACGGGATTTTCTCTGATTGAACCATATTGAGTCTACAGAGCCCAGAGAGATGCGAGGATGGGTTTGCCGACCCTGATCGAGGTTCAAGGATTTCTCACCACTGGTGGCATATCAATCTTCACGATGTCCGCTTCGTGAGCAGACCGAGTCACCGAGACATAATCCCTAGTGCTGACAATTGCAGAACACAGGGTGTAGGCTGTATCAAGCCATAATCCATGTATTGATCAGGTCCATACGGATACATGTTCGATGCACTGGACCCTAGCAAACATTGTCTCTGGCACGTGTGGGTAAGTTCGTGTCATCCTTTAGATTGAGGCGCTAAAACGACGCACTGTGCTCAAATTGGGCCACCGTGTCCGCGATCTGCACATCCACCGTACGGGGCAACACTCCAAAGTTACGGAAGCAATGGTAAGGAAGTCTGGGAAGACAGATATCGTTCCGCGTCATGCATGTGAATCGTAGTACCTCAGTGACGGTAGTGCAATCCTTCGCGCGAACTAAGATCCAGCGGCTGTGGCTGCTGGACTGAATCCCTCCGAAGATGGTCCCGAAGATGACACCCACGCCCTGCCGCCTAGACCACGCCTAGACCAAGTCTGAAGTGGATAATCTGTACGTCCAAACTAAAAGGTCAGAGTAACATTCGCTTATTCGGGCCATCGGGGTTTTCAGCATTACAAACCTGGCATCGCTCTTGCTCCACTCTAGTAGCTGTGGCATCGTGGCCCTCAGCGCGTCCTTCACAGCACGGCGCGTCTCGTTGCCCACTACTCGATGCTCTGTAGCTTCACCTCAACGCCGCAATCATCATGGCGTTATCCGACTTGAGAAACACTTTGTTTACTGGCGACAGCAATGGCTTGTTGTGGTTCTTTTTCCTAGGCATCGTCTTCCTTGTCGGCGGAAGCCAAGCGTGGGCCAAGTCTGTAGATCCAAGAGAGCCACAAGAAGTGAAGCCCAAAATACCGCTTGTCGGCCATATTATTGGGTTACTAGGGTCGAGGCAGAAATACTATCGTCAACTCGGGTACGTCGAAAGCCAACTCATCGAAGTCTAATATTAAGTACACGACTTCAATGTGACAAGAAAAGCCAGAACTCAGACTAATGACATCGTATCAGCCTTGAGAATGCGAAACTTCCGATCTTTTCCATCTCGATGGGTGGACCCGAGAAAATGTACATCATTACGGCGCCTCAGTTAATCCAGGTTGCAATGAAAAACAAATCCTTGAATCTTTACCCAGTGATGGCGGAGTTCGCGCAAAAGATGGTCGGTCTAGGACCAAATGTCATGGACTTGTTCCACAATCCACCAACAGATGGCTCCGTCTCATGGATTGAGGACCAACATCCATCTTTTGCGCCTCTGGCTCCTGGTCCTGATCTACAGGAGATGAACACCTACGTCCTGAACAAGATCTCAAAGACCATCAACTCCATCGGACCTAGTTACGAGACCAAGAAGCTGTACATGTGGTTCAGGGACTCCTTCACCATGGCCACAGTGGGCTCCCTCTTCGGCGACAAGAACTCTCTAATGCAGGATCCGACGTTGAGCAAGAATCTGTGGTAAGTTGCACCTCTCAGGCTCCCGAGTTAAGGGATTGACTGCTTACAACGTCAAATAAAGGGACTACGATGGTGGCCAAGCCGAGTTACTCATGAAACCGCTACCCTCTATCACAGTATCAAAGGCATACAATGGCCGTGCCAAGGTACAAAAGGCTCTTCGAAAATACTTCCGCGAAGATTACTATCATATCACAGATGCCAGCAGTGTCGTCAAGCGGCGCGTCGCAGTCAACCGAAAATGGGGTCTGCCCATTGACGACATCGCGGACCACGAATTTGGAATGCTCTTTGTGAGCGTCACCAATGCCATCCCGACACTCTTCTGGATGATGTGTTATGTGTTCCGCGATGCCGATCTTGTTGCAGATCTGCAAAAGGAGCTTTTTGCCCTTGCCGTGATACAGCAGCAAGACAGCGATGCTAGCGGGAGCCGCCCGTCTCGGAAGTGTACTTTCACCGTTGCCAAGTTCCGTACAGAATGCCCCTTGCTGGTGTCTACCTACAAGGAAGTCATGCGCCTGACAAATCGCTCGACGGGCACACGCCGTGTCGTGGAGGACACATTGATCAGCTACACACCATCCGGAGAAGGCGGCGAAACAAAGACCTATCTGCTCAAGAAGGGTGCAAACATTCAAATCCCTGCCATCATCACCAACTTTGGCCCCGACGCGTGGGGCGAGAATGCACACGAATTCAATCCGCGGCGGTTCATGACCGCGGACAGAGAACGAGAGCGGGCGCAAAACCGCGCCTTTAACCCTTTCGGTGGCGGTAAACACCTTTGTCCCGGGCGTTTTTTTGCCGACGCGGAAATATTGGGGGCGATGGCCGCGTTGGTGCTGGGATTTGAGATTGAGACTACGGCTGGTGACAGGATCGAAGTTCCGCAGATCAATAATAACCTGGCTGAGGCTGTTGGAAAACCCTTGACGAGCGTTCAAGAGAACATGATGGCTAGGATTCGGCGGAGGCCAGGCTGGGAGGATGTGGAGTGGGCGTATATCGCGAATAACTTGGCAACTTAGAAGGAGTCCAATGTTCACAAGGCGCGCTGATCATGTCATTTTGTCAACTTTCTTGTAGTTCTTCGCGATATAAGGCTGTCAGACGCGGCCTTAATGACCTTTGACGAAGCTGTTGCGGTCCCGGGCCGGCGTCGTTCCCGGGTAGCCGGTGAGGGGTCGCCGCGGAATGCTGGCCGCGGAAACCTGCCCGGGCCGCTTATCGGCAAAGAAAGTAGCAACATGGGAAGCCGAAATGGCACGGGTTTCCGGGCTTACCTAACGCCTACTCTGCGAAGCTGCATCATGTGAATCTTTAGAACTGCAAATCTTCATGTGTGTTCCATAGATCTACACTTTCTCTTCATTTCCCAATAATTCAACGTTCTCTGTTACTTTGCGGAACCAATGGTGCCAAACCCAAGCCAGGCACTTGCCGTCATTCCGGGCAATGCCCAGGGCCAGGTCATCTTCTCAGATGTTCCGCTAAGCTTCATGATGGGTGTCGACTCAAAGACCGGCATCGTCGCAGATGCACACCACCCCCTCCGCGGTACATCTCTCAAAGACTCTGTCCTCGTCATCCCTGCTGGCCGGGGATCCTGCTCTGGGAGCAGCGCAATCGCAGAGCTGATACTCTGCGGCAATGCGCCCGCAGCCCTTATCTTCAGGGACGTGGAGATGATTCTCACCCTGGGAGTCTTAGTGGCCGAGAAGATGTTCGACAAGAGCATTCCGATTGTCTTCCTTTCAGACGCATCGCACTTCGAAGTCTTCCGTCAAGCTTCGACAGTGCAGATAAACGGAAAGAGCTTGTTGGTTTCACCAGGAGGCCACAAGATTGACTTGGTGCCACAAAGCACAAAGGCGTTAGAGTTGAATCCAACGGACAAAGCCATCTTGTCTGGCGAGAGCGGCGAAGCTTCTCGTATCGCGATGGAAATCATCGTAAAGTACGCCACGATACAGGGTGCACAACGCCTGATTGATGTTTCTCAAGTCCATGTGGACGCTTGTGCCTACGTTGGCGAAAGCAGTCTCCTCGTCCCTGAGCGCCTGCTTTCCCTCGTAGGGAAATTTGTCGTACCATCGACCTGCAACTCCCTAAATGTCGACCGAAAGAGATGGAAGGAATTGGGAGCCAAACCCGAGATCTCTCAGATATCTGACAAGATAGGAGAGACGTATCTCGAGCTGGGCGCCAAGATGAGCTTCACCTGCGCTCCGTACTTGCTCGAGAGTAAGCCTAAAGCCGGAGAGCAAGTCGGGTGGTCTGAGTCCAATGCCGTAGTATTCGCGAACAGTGTGCTGGGAGCACACACACAGAAGTATCCTGACTATATGGACGTTTTCATTGCATTGACCGGAAGGGCTCCTTATGCCGGGTGTCATGTGCCAGAGGGCAGGAAGCCAGAAGTCATAATCAAGGTCACCCAAGTTAGCGCATTGGATCCATCGTTTTTCGCTCTTGTTGGCTACAGCATTGGACATGTGGTCGCCGCCAAGATCCCTCTTGTCATTGGCATGGAGACGACACACCCGACCATATCGGATTTGAAGGCATTCGGAGCGGGGTTCGCGACGACTTCATCTGCTCCCATGTTTCACATCAATGGCATTACGCCAGAGGCTGCAAGTTTCGGAGATGCACTCGCCAGTCTAGAAACCATTGAGGTGACAATTTCTGAACTTCAGTTGGCTTGGAGACAGCTCAACACGGCTACGGACCCTTCTGTCGATATCGTCTCTCTAGGAAATCCGCACTTTTCCCTAGAAGAATTCTCACAACTTGCCGAGGTATGTCGCGGCAGACACAAGGCACTTAATGTCGAAGTCATGATTACCACTGGCCGTGATACATACAAAGAGGCCCTGGACCTCGGCTATCTAGACATTATCGAGAGCTTCGGTGCCCGGCTGATAACGGATACGTGTTGGTGCATGATAGAAGAGCCGGTCGTTCCCCTGAAAGCAAGAAACGCTATGACAAACTCAGCCAAGTATGCTCACTACGGTCCGGGGATTGTGGGCAAGAATTTTCACTTTGGAGATGTTGTCGCGTGTATCGAGGCGGCAAGTAGAGGCCATAGACAGGAAGAGGAGATGAGCCCGCGGTGGCTTTTCCGGTGATCCATAGACTATCAGAATCACTCGCTCTGCATCCAAGGAGTTAAATAGAAAGATATAAGGATCAAAAATACAGAAAGGGGGGTTGTAGACTGCCATATGGACTACAAACTCCAGCCAATGTTGAAGAATTGCAAAACGAGCAGTTCTCGTTGAAAAAGTAAATTGATCAAGTGTTGTCTTTTGCCGGAAGGCTCTTCGAGCATCGATCAGAGTTATTCCTCACGCCTCACGTACCATTTCATTACCGAGAGCGTCATATCTAAGGTCAGGTCGGTAGTCGCTGAAGCAGATGACCGGTATTTGCACGCGAACCCAAGACCGATGACTTATCACTAAACCATGGATTACCATCGCGTGTCAAGCACGATGCGAACAGAACGAGGTCAATGCTCTGGATGTACGGAGTAACGGATAACGAGATTATCATCCGTGAAATCAACGCGACTTGGCACTGGATCTGTTGCGGGAATGACGGAGTTCATTCGGAAATAACATCTTTGTTTGTATGTTGCGAGCTGGACAACTCCGCAGTGACATGTGATCCAATGCAGCATTGTTCCTACAAGTCGTTAGAGGAGTTATGATGCAGGTTCAATTTTCTTCAGTCGTGTTCATCCATCTCGCGCATGGATACAAAAGACTCGATTTACGAATGTACATTTTCCAGTCAAGGCAGGCGCTCCTTTGAGGCTGAGATTCAGCGGCTTGACATCTGTCATTTCGCGCATCTTGGCTTTCCAGGCACCCGAGTTTCAACTCAACAACATCGATCTTGGCTGTGTTGTCAGGTTGTGTATGGGTTTGATCCTCCAGAATTCCGCGCCTTGCCACACCTGCGACTGGTAGCAGCCGTTCATCTTCAGCTTTCGCCAATTCGAGCCCAATGAAGCCTTGAAGGATCTTCGAAGGACCAGAACCACGCGATGGCATGGATCTGTTTCCGGGAAGAAGGAATCATCATCAGGTTCCAGCCCCTTTGGCCCGCCGTTGAGAACTTGCAACCCCACGAAGACCATCCAATGGCCCTCTTTTTTGATTATGCTAATCCCATAACCGAAGCTAGCGGGCACCTGAGCGGAAGCCATTCGCGGGATCCCGCTCCACCGGAAATGGAGCCCCCGTCAGCGCTTATCCTCATCCAGAAAAGAGCTGCCTTGGAGGGCTCCATCGCAAGCAGGGATTCCAATCCTTCAGACCCCTTACCGCCGCTTGGCGCCAGTCAACCGCCATGAATTCCTCGAGAAGAGCCAAAGTCCCGACAATAACCCACAATCTCTGGCGCTCAACGTTGCGGCCTGTCGATATGGGGCTCCATAGAACCATAACGATGTGGTTTTCCCCTCCGGGTTCCTGGGTTTAGACTCCGATGCTTTAAATCTTTCATCTGTTCCCCCCTTTGCATGCTGGAGATGCTCTTGGTCCCGTTTTGCTCCGCGATTGAGCAATGAGCGCGGCATCATGACAACTCCTAACAACAACGCGTCTCCGCCGGAGTACTACAGCGGCCTCGAGGTGGACAGCCGACCGGGCCGATCGCCGGGAGGGTATGGCGATCAAGACTTTAGCAAGTTCCGCGTCGCGGACCAGAATAACTTGCCCGAAGTTGACAATCATGACGGCGACCTTCCACAAGCCGTGCACCCGTACGGCCATGACTACTCGATGCTCCAGGCCGTTCACCCGGCGGAGGGCGGCGCCTCACCAGCCGAATATCAAAACGGTTCATATGATTCAAGCGGGTACTACGCTCCGAAAGAAGACAACCCGCCAGAGGTCGTGACGGCAGAGATCGACGAGAAGCAGCAGAAGAAGAGGGCGGGCACAATATGCGGCATGCGGCGCAAGACATTCTGGATTGTTCTAGCCGTGGCGCTCATTATTGTCATTGGCGCTGCGGTAGGAGGAGGCGTCGGTGGCGCATTGTCGGCAAGCAACAGCTCGCAACAATCAAGCAGCAGCTCAGGAGGATCAAGAGACGGCGGAAGCGGTAGCAGCGGTACAGGAACCGGCAGCGGCAGTGGGAGTGGAAGCGGCGACAGCAGTGGCGATAGCAGCGGCGATTCCAACACCACGACGACAACGAATGAGCTGGATATCCTGCCCACCAGCAGCATTGGCGCGCTCAACTTCACAGACTACTATGGCTACGTGAACCACCTCGTTTTCTACCAGCTGCGGTCTAAGAATCTCATGATGTCGTCCTACAACTCTTCAACGAAAGTGTGGAGCTCAACAATAGCCAATAGGGAGAGCACGATTAAGGAGGGTACTCCCATCTCCAACAGCTTGTTCTGGCATAGCAGTAAGGTAAGTCGCCGTTATCCCTTTAGCTACCTACTGACTGTGTGTGATCAATGCTAACCCTATTCTTTAGGTCCGCGATGTCCGTATCTACTACCTCAACGACGCGAACCAGGTTGCAGGCATCATCAATGCCAACCCCGTTTACGGCTCGACGTGGGATAAATCCGGCGTTTCAAACACCTTTACTGCGAACGCGAAGTCAAATCTACTGTCTAACGGCATCTATACCCCCGACTCGTACCTATCGAACCTTGTTTTATATCAGGACGCTGGGAATACCATTCGTGTTCTCCGCCGGACGGGCGAAGGAGCAACAGATTGGGCTGCCGTGGGCATATCGACCGACTTTGGAAAGCCTGCAGAGGGCACCGGGATGTCTATGATCCCCATCTATACCAACGCGACCACGAAGAGGATGGCCATGTTCTATACTTCTGAGACAGGCTCACTCATCCATCTCACCCTCGTCAACGATAATGATTGGACCAATAACACCTTACCGACCACGCTTGAGACTAACGCGACAATCGCGGCCTTCTCGAGCGGATACGAAAGCAACAACAACCTGGTCATGCACGTTCTGGGAGCACAGACGGACAAAGCACCTGTGCTGACAACGTACGCTGAAGGAGAGTGGACCAACGTGGGAGAGATTTCCACCATGTCCGGCGAGGACAGGCCCTTCAAGATTGCTGCCAATTCCGCTGGGAGAGTCTATGGTCTCGTACAGCGCAATGCTACCAAGGTTGAGATCGTCGAGTGGGAGTGGATTGGTGGTACAACGTATAATAAGATTGGTGTGATAGATACCGTCTCATGATCTGAGGAGAGGCTCTACGTGGGTGAATACAAGGTAATCTGGCTCTCGTGGTCCCCGAGAGCGACAATAATAAATACAAGAAACAGAACAAAAACAAGATCAAAACATACTATCTCCCCTATGACCCCAGCCTACTATGACTTTACACGTGCATTCAAGGCCACTGAGACTCGGATTTGATGTTGATGCCCACATCGTACGCATCCCAGCTGGCGATGAGACTCGGGAAGTTGAAAGCCGAAAAGTCTGGTTCAGTCTTGATCACAGGGCAGAAGTCGTTCTGTTGTTGTTGTGACAGCTTCTCAATGTCAGTCTTGACTTGTCCCAAATCGGCCCCACGATGTGGATCTATCACAGCAAACATACCATCTCCAGATCCCTCTGCTGAGCAAAGTGCGAGGCGCAATCATGCTGCAAAAAGCCCGGGCTTCGGCCCATGCTGGCTTCCCTTGCCCGGCTAGGGTGATCCCTCACGGCCGGGGTCGGGGCGGCGGGAAGCGGGTCAACCCGTGAAGCACGGGCTGCCTTGCGAGCCTTGGACCGGGCAGCAGCGGCGGCAACCCGCGCTCTGTGCTCAGCTTTGACTTTGGCGACAAATTGTGGTATCGGGTGGGGGCATCGGTCTTCATAAACGTGCTGAAGAATGACAACTTTGTCAGTTCAGTGTTCTTGAAGTTTGTCTTGAAGAGATGAGGGGGAAACATGTATCATGTTCGTGGACTCACGCGGTGCATGCTGCCTATCTTGGTGAACCCTTTGAAGCAGCCAGGGCAGATGGCTTCGATCATTTTGGGAACACGGGGCATGGTGAAGCGGGTAATAGGCATCTGGGCGGTGTTCCTCAACACGAACTGGTTGTACTCGCTGAACATGGTGTCTGGAGATTAGATGACACGATAAAGAACAGGGCAGAAGTTCGTCAAGTGGTTAATGATTGACGATTGACTGTGAACATAACCTGGGGTTACCCTCCCTTTTGTCTTGCTCACCGTGGCTGGTGGGATGGCGTCGGGTCAAGGAACTGTTCACTGAACAGCTGCGATGGCTTCTCAAAGAGCTTCCAACTGGGCTCCATAACTATTCGGCAGGGGTCAATCAAGCTGGGGCAGGAATGTCGCAACACTTGAGTGATTATCAAGGACGACCTGCCATACCAGGATGGCGCGGCAAGCGCGCTATCCATCGTCTAAGTAAAGCGCTTATTGCTTCTTCTTCCGGGCCCATCGTGTGAGTCTCGCAGTCTGGCACCCGGGGGCTAGGTTCATGTCTTTGTTGGTAGTCAATTATCACAGTCAACGACGCAACCAACACTGGTGTAGGTCCCCGTCGGGGCCGAGTCTGGGGGGCATAGGCTGGTGGAGGGTAGGCTCTTGGGATTTTTTGTCAACGTGCGGAGTTCCTGTCACCAAGATGGATGGGGATGAAAGAAAGTAAGTCTTACCTCCTTGTGCCCGAAGCTCCGTCCATCGGCGATCCCATGGCGTCCTGAAGTTCGAACAGTGAAAGTGATGTTTGGGGCCTTTGGGCAGAACGAGCCACACCAGGCAAGGTCATTTTGATAGCATTCTCCACAGGAAGACAAACTCATCATGTCATCGGCGGTAGTGAACAGAACAGTCTCTTTGTGTCCGAGCTCCCAGGCGGTTACTCGGTCAATCGGCAGGTATCCAACAGACAAGGGTCACCCGTGGCGAGACGGCAAAGTGCCTTCGCGAGAGGACCGCCCACCTTCCTCTAAATAACGACATCTGGAAAGCTGGAGAAAGACTAAAGAGCTAGTCACTTCGCCTCGTTTCAGACCAGGGTACAAAAATGAAAGGTTTTGTTCACCATGCGAGGCTGACTATGGAGAGGATCGTCGACTTGTAGCCCCGCGTCCTCGCACTGGAGCTTTGAACTACCTAGCGGGGCCCAGACTGGAAGACCTTCATGTTGGTTGCACAGCAGTCTGGGCCCGTTATAAACCTCAGTGACAGTCCAAGCCACGAGAAATGAGTGGCTCCTGGTCATGATCCTTGTCCAGTTCGCATTAGTAGGAATCCCACGCCACATGCGACACCATGTGACCTGTTTTAATCCCAGGTGCCATGCAGCGAAGTCGCATGTTTAATGAGCACAGCCCAGGTTCCTGTTCAAATGTTTGTTCCCGGCTTCTCGGGTCTTGAAGCAAACATCTGTTAGAGAAGGTGAGCGGTGAACAGCGGTGAACCAACGAATAGCAATCATCCCCAACGATCAATACGAGTGAGGGTGCCGCCGTATTTGACTTGCCCAACACCTTGTACCAACATCGTATCTGAGCATGGGATATCACCCGAATCCAGCCCGACTGCGGTATTTTTTTAATCTCACTAAGCTCAAGTAGGTCGTGCTTGCTTAAATCCTCCAACGAAATCATCGCTGAATCTTGTCTGCCGAGGTGCGAGCTCCCGCAATATCCGCAGCTCCCGCCCTCGCCCGCGGCCCGCGCCTTTGATGGATTCACGGTCAGGCGGGCGTGGAATAAACTCCCTTGCATCATCATGCTCACACGTGCTGGGTGGTCCCTGCAAAGGCATACGGTACCTGGACTAGACGCAGACGAGGACGAATAGGCGCGGGGCCGCGGACGACTTCTTGGAAGCGTCATCGCAATGGTTTCGTAACCGTACTGTGCTCATCCGCGTCTAGCCCGGAGCGCAAGATCTCGCTAGATATGCAGACATGAAGCGGTGAACTAGGAATCGCCAAGGAGTGATTCAACTTCCATTGATCAAATGTCAATCTGGTACCTTTCAGCATATTCCAGTCAATATATAGACGAGTAATGAGAATGGTTATTCAATCGATCACTCACCGAAGAATCTCTGTGTCAGATAGCCATTAACTCCTCCTAGAAACCACGATGTTGGCGCGCAGCTCCAGTCGTCGGCGGATGCCCGTCGGGTTGATGCAGCTTTTGGCCCCAGAACCCCGTGATTTGTACGAATAGTGAATCCATGCCATGACGGGCATGAAGCATGAGGCATGAAGCAGGAACATACTTGAGCTGTCAGGGCCGCGTCGTCTGTCAGCCTGTCGTTGCCTGTCAAAATGATGTGGACAATCCGCGCCACGGTGACCACATATTCTTTGTTCTACATGCATCTTGCTGCACGACTGTGGCATGTTTTATGTACCCACACCGCCAAGCTCAAAGGCTTTGAGAGCCTCCAAGTTTCGGTAAAGCTGGTCCATTCCGAAGATCAAAGATTTACCCCTCCATTCAACATCATTTGGATAATCCACTCGGCACTTTGCCAAAACTTCCGGCTATTCACAAGGTCACATTGCCCCAGTACGAACGGCCTGGTGATGTAGCAATGTGGTCTTTCTCAACTTCGAAATGATTTTAACCATCGGCGCGCTGCCGAGAAATTCGGGTTCGGGACTCATCTCTTCATCCTATCCGTTAATATGGCTCCTGGCATCTCATTACACCTTCATTTCGTCTCGGATGAAAGGGTAGATTTCTTCAGGAATTGCCAATTGCAAGCGCTCTCTATGAGGGTTTCGGATACGATGGTACCACTGACAGATGCCTTAAAAGGCCCATGGTATCGTATTTTATCATCGAGAGTCTCTGATCTCCTTACCTGCAATTCTCTTCCTGTCCCTTTCAAAGCCAACTCCTGGGAAACAAGTGATCTTTCAGTTTATGATCATGCAGCTTACCAAAGTCTGTCTTGCCTTCGGCATATTTGCAGCTGCTTTCGCGCAGTCCAAGATCAAGATCAGTCAGTTCAAGCCATCAAATAACAGGCCAGAAGACGACTAGCTAATAATCTTCGAGTGCCTTTGGGTGACTCTATCACCGAAATAACTTGCTGGAGAGCACTGGTATGGGACCAGTTTGTCAAGGAGAATCTTGCCGACAAGGTGCAATTCATTGGCTCCATGACGAACAACCCCCAAAATTGCCGAGCCCAGTCAGGCTCTTTTGACCTCCATCATGAGGGCCACTCGGGTTGGCTCTCCATCAACATTGCCAACCAGTATCTACAGGGGTGGCTTGCAAGCACTAAGCCTGATATTGTGCAGTTCATGCTTGGCACCAACGATGTAGCGCAAGGGCGCACGACCAACGATATTGTCGCTTCGTACACGAAGATGGTAGGGTTGATGAGGGCGTCCAACCCGCGCATGAAGATTCTGGTATGGTCTCTTGCAACATCTAACAATTTGCGCGTCTGTTGACACGAGTCTTGCCTCACAGATTGATCGCTTGATCCCGTTGTCCTTTAATGGGGGTGGAATCGATACTTTGAACCAGCGAATCCCGGGATGGGCCATCGAACAGAACTCTACCAACTCTCCAATCACAGTTGCGGACTGCTCGAGTTCTGCCGGGTTCACAACCTCCATGTTGCGAGATGGCGTACACCCCAACGATCAGGGAGACCAGGTCATAGCCCGGCAGGTGGGTCCATTGCTGATCAAGTACGTCAGGGATCTCATTGCCGAGAGGGGGCTATGAGATTATCGTACAAGCAGTTTGGTTGATAGTCAATTCGACTGGGTGCTGAGATAGCATCCAGTACAGAGGTTTAGATAGCAGTAATGTTCATCTGGGTTGAGTCGGGGTTCGTTCGATCAAGGTACATGTATCTCAGGACGTCAGCGGTTGCATTGAGTATGCAACCATTCTTTCTTGATAGTTGAAGTTGTAGTTGCATCCACTGTAGACTTTTTATGAACGTTGATGTAGTAGGGCATTCTCAAGATGTCTCCCCAACAGAAGGCTGACCCGCGTCGAGGTAAGCCACATACAATAAGGCAAGGCTCGCTATTGGTGAGGAACATGCTTTGTATAACGATCCGAAGTTTTCAAAGGCAACGAACCTTCGGGTCTACTTTGCCCGCGGGATAGCCTTGGAAGGCCGCCAGGATGACTGAGCGCCGAGAGCCAAGACCGAGAATCGAGTAAATGTGGGAGTTGAAGCCGACCTCAATACTAAAGAGGCACATGGGGCTTCAATCGATGGACGCTGAATGGCCTATAAAGAGATAACGTGCGCTCATCAACTTGCAAAATCGAGGTAGAATCAATCATCTTTTCGCCCAAATAAGGGGATGAAGATTTAGCTCATCCCATCGGAAACATCGCGATCTCCCCGACCCAAAAGGATGCGGGAACTTGGTTTCGTTCTCGCGTTTGGCATTTACACTCGAGCACGGACGAACTTGAGGGACTTCCGGCTACCAGAGTCTAACAATTACTTACCCCCCGAGACGTCTGACATCTGACTCCCGCTCATCAGCACCAGTCTGTGCTCGGCATGATCCCTCCGCTGCAAGATAGTCTTCCGTAGACGAGGAACTCGCGGACGGACATGCCAAGATATGCGCAAAGTCTGTCGGCCGAAACGGGGGCTTCTTTGCCGAATAAAAATGGTAAATGGCTTCTAAAGTGTTTGCTTGGTCAAACCCTTTCGCTATTGCATATGAGCACGTCCTGCTGTCCCTTTCCTTCTCGAGGTATTGCTTCGTCAACAAACCCATACCACACAAATCTCCTCTTCAGTTGACATCAAAATCTCCAGCACGACAATGGCAGACCCTCTTGAGCTGGAGACCGATCGCCCGAAGAGGAATTCCAGAATGATTGAGAAGTTTGATGACGAGATCAAGGTCGCGGGGGTGGTAGACCAGCAGCCGGTTGTCTCGAGAAGCGAGTCGGTCCAAAGCGATACGTATGGATTGTCTGCCGGCGCCAAAACCTTCGACAAGAAGCTCCTCTACAAACTCGATATGCGTCTAATGATTGCCATGTTCTTTTTGAACTTCTTGTCGTTAATGGGCCGCACAAATATCGGAGCCGCACTGATCCGGCAACTTCCACAAGACCTTCATCTCGACGCGATGAAGGTGTTCATCGTTCTCACGATGCCAGCGGCGCCGTTGATCCTGTTCGAAGTGCCAAGTAATCTACTTATGCGCTTCTTGAATCGCAAGTTCAACTTCCCATACTTGTGGTACATGTGTGTTCTCGATATATTACTGGGTAAGTCTGCGTATGTCACCGAATCGCGTTGTGCGTGGGGTAGGGTGACACTGAACGTAGAAGCTTCGGCTGTCATGACCGAGTCGTGTTAATGTACATGCTAATGACAAGTAGGTATAATCACGATAGGCCAAGGATTCGTGAAGACATTCGATCAGATGGTAGCCACCCGTTTCTTCGTTGGTGTCTTCGACGCAGGTCTCATCCCTGGCTGCGTGTTCCTATGTTCTCTTTACTACCCTCCAAGGCATCTTCAATGGAGACTTGGACTGATTACTGTCGCCAATATTTGTTCAAATATTGCCGGGAACTTTCTTGCATACGCAATCGCCAATATTCAAACCACTGAGAATTTCAAAGGCTGGAGATGGTGCAATTCCCAATCCCGCATTATTTTTCGAAACGGCTCTGACATCTCGTAGGATCTTCATCATTGAGGGCATCTTCACTGTGGTAGCTTCTCTGGCCTGCCTTCCTGCTAATATTGGACCTCCGGAGAAGGCCAAGTTCTTGACGGAAGAAGAAAAGCAACTTATCAAAAACTCGGTCGAAATACGCAGCACAGAGATCGGTGTTGTAGCAGAGTGGAAAATGTTCTTCACAAACCCCCTGAATTACTGCTGGGCTGCCCTCTACTGCTTTACGACCACAACCGCTTACTCAGTCTCCATCTTCTCTCCGTCCTTCGTCAAGTCCTTTCACCCGGAGCTCAGCGCCGCAGATGTGCAGGCGCAAATTGTGCCCATCTTCGTGGTGGCTGCTGTGGCATGTCTGACAACTGCTTACGCAGCTGACCGTCTCAACCACCGCGCAGCCTTCGGCCTTGGCGGCTTCATTTTCACCATCATTGGCTACGCAATCCTGAGGCAAGACGAACACGAAAGCACGAATGTGACCATGATGGCGCTGTACTTCATCGCCTTCGGCACATTCATCACTCTTCCCATGATCTGGATCTTGACTATGCAAAACTTGCAGACGCCTTTCCAGCGAGCCATTGGGAGCGGCTTTGTGGTTGGGGTTGGGAACACATCAGGCTACATCTCAGCCTGGATCTTTAAGACAAGTGACGGCCCGTATTACAAGAACGGCATGACAATCAGCATGATCCTAGTCGTTATTGCATTTGCCATTCTTTCGGCAACTTGGCTTTACATCCAGATGCATAATAGGAGGCTTGATAGAGAGGAGAGATTGCATCCGTCTGCGGGAGCTGGAACCAAGAGGCTTACTGGGCGAAGCTTCCGGTACAAGGCATAGTTTATTGTCACTTTATTACACTTGGATGATTGCGCAATTCGGCCTGGAGATCCCGAAGCCTTTGGGCATATTTGAAGCCCAACGTGCCCCTATATTCCAAGGCGCCGATATAAATATGACAAGCATGTTTCCGACTATTTTGCTTTTCAGCTGTGATAAACTTCCACTCCTTATCGTGGGGATCCCTGTAATGATTGTGCAGTGTTACCTGCCACCACCTCATGCAACTAGATAACCTCATTTTCGTTCCGAGCGATCTCCATACGAGCCCATTCCCAATCAGATGCGGCTGACAACGCAGTACTGTTTCCCCGCGGGCCTCAATGCGGTGCACGTCCGGATTGCTGAATCCCGAAGAACCGAATTCATAAACCCACATAACCCCGATACCCGGTCAAGGGCACAATTCACGTTTCCATTTTACTTTCTCTTCGTGTCACGAGGAATCGACTATTGACATTATGTTGCCTTTATTTTGACAGATCAAACTTCCAAGACAGACATGGCAGTCACGTCCACACTTTACACTCCATTGGTGGAAACCCATTTCTACTCAACAGGTGGCTACCAGCTCTCCACTGTGTATACCTTACAGCCACAAACGACACCCTTCACACCGAGAGATAGTACCTGTTCCCTACTACCTCGAGCTATACGGTGCGTAGAGGCCAAAAGCGAAGACATTGCATCGGGCTTCACTTGTTATGGTCTACAATTTGTTGGAGAAACAACGACATCGGTACCAACACAATGCTTTCCGGAGAGTTACATAAACATTTGGAGACCTTTCGACGAGTTTAGTAGGACACCCTTGAGCCATGCCACATAGACTACTATAAGCAGAAGATTAGTCTTGAAAGCTGTACACGTACTGACGATTTTCGAATCAAGGTGATATCCCAAGTTTGGCTTACCCAGGCACTGCGTGCATTAGCGGGTGGACAACTGCGTGTTCCACGGATGTCACAGAAACAAGTGGAAGCATACATGCACAGACTTGGTGTTGCCCCTCTGGCTGGGGCTGTCTCAGTGCTTCGAATGGTGGCATCCCTCACCGAGAATGTACAAGCCTCCTGAGTACTCCGACTGAAGGGTGGATCAACAACATCGTAACTACGAGAGAAAGTGAAAGCACCATTACGACATCTTGGACGAAAATCTCCCTTTCAAACCTACCCAGAGGGGGGCCAATCATCATCAATCACCCTGTGTTTCCACTTTATGGCAAAGTTCCGTCTCGTCAGGTTGGAGGCACCACAGACCCCGAATTATCTGGAGGAGCAATCGCTGGTATTGTAGTTGGGATTGTGATTTTGCTCATGGCTCTCATTGGTTGTGGCTGGTTTATATGTCTTAAGAAGAGAAAGCAAGAACGGGGAGCCCGGCTGCTACAGAGAGACACTGCCGCTGGGAGGGGAGAGCATTCTTTCGTGAGGGAAGACCATGACTCAAAAACGAAGTCACCAAATCATGATCACGACGCTCAAGAGATGTGTACATTAAGGCCGTCTCCCGTAGAGCTCTCGTCTCATAGCAGAGCTGCCGAGGTCGAGGGAGACAGTCGCCCAGTTGAACTGGCATCTTAGGTAAACATTAGTAGAACGAGCAACGAGAGCAAACCCAGACAAATGAAAGCTACGTAGTACCTCAAGGTCAAGATCCACCAACCGGCGAGTAAACGTTTTCTGATATTCGTCGCAGAGTTCAATTCTGTTTTCCAAATTATTTTAGACCTTATGTGCGTAAAAAAGCCCATCAATGACAAATCAATTTTTACTCAACCGTTTCTTGATAGGGAATACTCGCATACAAGTATTTTTTGAGGTAAGTCACCGCAGAGTATCCGAAGTAGAAATATACCCAGGATCTTCGACCTAGTATCTGCGTCATCCTATTGACAGACACAGACCTTGAACGGCAACCCCCAAACGTTACATGGTTGGAACGCGACGCTGCAAACTTGTATGTGTTTTGATGACCAGTTGTGTCAAAATTGGATTGAAGTCACGCCTAATCCATGCATGGGTTCGGACCATAGCGTGACCAATGTCTTCCGCAAACCATTGAAAGCTTATCGACGAAGAAGCCGTTTGTCCAAAGTTGAGCAAACATCGCCGGATTCCATGCATTGAGGCGTGAAGACTAATGCTCGCAGGGGCAGAGTTCTTTACGGAATATGGAGCTTGAAGATAGGATCAGAAGAAGGCACATGCTTCATTTGACAATCTTCATCGCATGCGGCGCGCGGAGCTATGCCTACCTAGTATTCAACACGCCTACTGCCCAAAAAGCACAAAGAGAGCCACACAGCCCACGAGCGAATGGCCGTATAGGTGTCACTGACACGCTCAAATTTAACACTTGGAGATAGGTTCAGATGGGTATGTTAATGAGACATCGTTTGAGAACTGGCGGAACAAAGGTCCGCCTTCGTAACTGTAGATCAGAAGTTAACCAGCCGTCACCAGTCCGCAACTAAAAGTACGTTTGCTAGCACTTGGAGGATTCCAGTCCAATTTCCAGCCATCACATTTGAACCGTGCATGTACTTCCTCATGTGATGTACATATGTTTCAGCCACAGGGTCGCAAACAGCTCTCAGGCTTGCTTCAATTTCTTCAGGTCCATTAACAGGTCGTGAATGTTTGCTAGTAAATGCTTTGAAGCCTGAAATTCCGAGGTGATCATGGCATTGGGCTGGTGTAACATGACGTTTGTCTCGACTACTTGGAGTCCACGCCACCGCGCTCTCCATTGTAACTGACGTCGTTTGCTAACATTGGCAAACCAACAAACAGAACAGTCTGCTTGCTCCTTACGATACTCTGCAGCTTGACAAATGAAGTGGTGACACCCGAACAGCACGAGTAGAGTATCCTGACGGATTTTGTTGGATAGTGGTGCCAGACGCGCGAGCCTGAACATTCGAATCTCCTGGACTTTTCAAACGCTTTTGGAAATCTGGAATCATTTTGTTCCTTCATCTTCGTTCTGATTTCCTGGGTTACCTGATAGATGTCTTGGAAGCATTGGTAGCAAAGAGACTGCATCATAGCCGCTGAGAGGGCCTGTGAGATCAATCATTAAGGGGGCATACATCCCCGGAACATGTAGGGAAGCATAAGAAGATCAGATCCATAATATCCTTTTCTTTGAGCCAAGAGTGAAGTGAACCTTTCGAAAACCCTTATGTCGATGATGCCCATTGCGAGATCAAGTCTCGACAGTGCTGTACGGTCTACCGATTGTCTGTCGGTTTGCTCAACTTCCCGTATAGCGAGATTACGACACCACCCGGCCATGAAGATCAATTGACTACCTTTTCTATTTTGAGTAGTGCGGTCTCGATGTAGGATTGGATTCATGCAGCAGCTAGAGCCAGTAGGCAATCATACATGGGTGGTCGCGATTGCGTCCTTCAAAGGAGTCAAGCAATACTCGATACGAGTTTTGGGTGCCAAGATGTGATCTCTGGCTTCATGTTCATTTTAGGGTTTATAAGTAGCGAGCGCTCTCCCTTCGTATGAGATCTTTTAATATCATCCCAAGGTCCAAACCAGCACATACAAGCTTTAACCAAATCTAACCTGCACAACAACGCCCACCATGCGCGCCAGCGTTCTTTATTTGATGTCATCAGCCACGATGGTTGTTGCTGTAAGCTTGATCCAGACCAAGTCTTTTGAAGCAAGAGCTAACTGATTAGGCTGTTGTTCCCGCGGATGTACCCAAGGGCTACGGACTGTACATTCCCGAATGGGAGTTTCAGACTCCAGATGGAGAGAACATCACCATCAAGGGTACAATCCAAGAGGTCTATGCTACCCTCGGTAGTCTTAACCCTCAGATGGCCCAGATGAATGGCTTCGATCTTGAAGCAATTCCGAATGTTGCGCGTAGTGACGTGGAGAAGCGCGCCACGTTTCCCAGGGTCGATTGCCAGACCTTGGAGGAGGGTCACACCGACATGTATGAGACGACCATGGAATATCTCAGGAAGGTCCCAGGGAAACCGAAGAACTCTGCTGGCCCAAGAGAATGTGGCCGCGTCAGCTGTGCTTGGAAGAGCGCGACTTGGTGGTGCAATGATGTGGGTTCTTCACTAAACTCATTCCTCAATTCTGTATAACGAGGGTAGTAGCGTTTTTGCTGACAAAATTCAGGCTCTTGAGGAGAAGGAGCTTAGTTCATTCGGTGAGATTGCCGACGGTGTACAAAAGATTTATCACGAATGCACCGACGTCGATAAGCACTACTGGTGGTCCTCTGGTGAAGCTTACACCGACGATGATTGGAGTGTCCAATTTGGGTACGCACCATGCTAAGGCGGTCAACCAGACCAGAGGAACTCTATGGATTTCGTGCACTGCACGAATGACGCTAGACACTAGAGGTCGTACTTTCTTCGCTCAGTTAACTTGGCATGCCAGCTTATGGTTTACTGCCATGAGGAAAGTCGATATCATAGTGGGAGAATACCTTGAGTAAGGGAAAGAGGGGGGAGAGCTGTCAATGCTCACATATCCTATTCGACCTATCATTTTTGGCTTGCCTGCGACCGCAAATTTACAGTCCTTACCTTCAGTAAACTTAAAACTCAATTGAAACTACCGAGTTCATTGGCAACTTGAATTCATCATGATTTCCGTCTATAACACGGAACACCAATTGAAGTCTAGAAATCTTAGCAGAGCAGGGTCACATTTAAATTGTGCATAGTGACACGAGCATCATAAGTCCACTGTTGAAGAAGCCGATATCTCTAGCGAAAGTTACGGCATCCAGTTCTCTACTCCAGAGACTTAGACTTTCAGCCGAGTTCAATGATATTTCTTTTCTATTCACACCTATGTTGTTGAAAAATCATGACCTAAAGCTGACCGAGACCTCTCCGTCTTGTCTTACTTAAACAGGCCAATGAACCCGCGCTAATAGTCGCATATCCTTGCCTTTGGACGATGGTGACGGCCCCTCCGGAAAAAATGAGCAAAAGCATGGGTGGAATCGCGCCGTGAAAGGAAGGTTACGACAGCGCAATCTCTTGTAGCATGTACGCAGCTTGATTTCTGCTCTCGGCCGAACGCCTCGGCTGTTAACCCCTCTCATCTCGAAGCTACCATTTATAAAGAAAGATGAGCTGGCCCTACAATACTATGTAGTACCGAAACTTCATGATTTGGTTAGCTCTGCTGATCTCCTTATTCATGCGCCCGGTAACCGTACGGCTAGAGCCCCGAGTGGCTCCGCACCGCGAACGTGGGGCTCATCCGAGCATCGCGGGCTGCTCCGCGTCGCTTCATGTTATGGCTACAATTAATATCTTGACTGATCCAGACCACAGACCTTGCCCTAACCTATCTGTACGCGAAAGGCTTGATTGATAATCAGCTCAATAATAGCTGAGTGCGTTGTACACTAACGACAGGCCATGGGAAAAGGGGATGGGGCTGAAGATACACCCAACGCGTCATCTACGAGTACACCAGCTTATTACGGGATTGCGTATATAAGCTTGTCTTGGACACCATGGAACTTTACCTAGCCAGCTTTTCTGGACTATTCCAAGACTTCTTTCTATTCTATACTCAAAAAATTCGCCATGAAGAGTCGTTCTCTTACTCTCGCCACTTTGGCGTCAACAGCGCAGCTCGTTTCAGCTCTTGTACCCGGTCTTGAAATCGCCCTTACCTTGGACCGCGCAACTCAAGGCATCAGTATCTCGACTGATGGACGAAAGTTCTTGACGCAGAGATATTCTACGACGGATGCACCTCAAGCCGTGGAGCTTCTTAGCAACGGCACGACTGTTCTCTACCCAGACTCGACGTGGAACTCCTGGACCTCAAATTCCACCCTGGACCCCAAGAAGGCATTTGTCAGCATTGATGGTGCTCGCATCGGCCCCGATGGACGATTCTGGATTGTCGACGGCGGTACCACTGATAGTGATCGCAATCTTGTCAATGGATCTAGCAAGCTCGTTGGCATCAACCTCGAGAGCAACCTTGTCGACAAGGCATACTATCTCGATAACCTTACAGAGACTGGCAGCGTCATCGATGATGTCCGTTTCAATGGAAACTACGCCTATCTCAGCGACACAATTGGCGCATTGGTAGTGATGGATCTTACTACTGGCCAAGGTCAGCGTGTCCTCGTGGGTCACAGCTCGGCTCTGGCCTGGTTCCCCATGGCCTACAACGGTAGTCTTGTACCGGGGTATCAGGGCGGAACCAGCACTCTTTCAGTTGGCCTCGATCAGATTGAGGTGTCTCCTGATGGTGTCTATCTGTACTATCAGCCTTGCAACGGTGGCATGTACCGCGTCAAGACCGAATACGTCAACGGAGCCTTGACGAACAGCACTCTTGCTGCCAACCTCGGAGACTACGTTGAACCTTTCGCCCTGACGCCTTCCACTGGAGGCACCACCATTGACGGAGACGGAAACATCTATGTTAGCGACACCAACCTCCTTGCTATCTGGAAGGTCAAGCCGGACGGAACTTCGTCCATCCTTGTTCAGGATGATGCTCTGGTCTGGACCGATCTGATGTGGGTCGATGCGAACAAGACCCTTTGGCTTCCCGCCTCGCAGATGCGGCCCGGAGCGAACGGGCTAATGGCCGATGGTCCTCACAACATCTTGACTTTCCCCATCGAGGCAGGTCCGTCTTTGATAGACCATGCCTAAAGGCAAAGTCACATCACCATCCGCTCTTACATCTTCTGTAAATGTCTCCGTAGATCCTGTACATAAAATTTCTATGAAGATTGCTTGCATTGGGACTCAACCCGGCCAAAAAGTCTATGCTTAGTACTCATATCACGATGATTCATCTAAGAGTAGAGTTTTCTTCTCCTCTATCTTGTAAGATAATGAATGGTATGCCTGAATGGATCCGAAAGACTTTAATTCTAGATTCAAAATGGCGTGTCAACCCGCGTGTGAATTGTTCTATTCATATACTTCGCGTCTATGAAGTGGGTAAGTAGTCCGACGCTCCATGTGTAAGCAGCCTTGACTTCCTTGGCAAATGGACCGCCAAGTCGGAGAGATCCCGAGAAGCAATTTTGAAGTCAAGGTCCACTACAAGTCAAAGGGTCCCATCTTCGTCCCATCGTCCCACGTGCTCCAGATCCTGAATATTCAGTCCGCACATACGACTTACCCATTATGAAGAGACGGCGAATTTCAGCATAGGATATTTGTGGTGGGGTCTTGCAGAAATGCACTGAAGCTAAGACTGACACCCTGCAGCGACGCCTGCTTGACAGGTTGGCACAAGCGTGAAGAACTCTAAAGCCACCTTGGATGGAATTGGATTCCAGTTCCATCATCATTCCATACTATGTACCTCCGATCTGCAATACTTGGGGCTTCTTGCTCTGAATCAAGAAACCCAAGGTATTTACCGGTTCGAGCCTTGAGGAGACTGTCTAAAGAACTCGGTAGGCGAAATATTGGGATCTGACAAGCCTTGCGCTATGCAATCCATCAAACTTTGGGCTCAGTCCGAGACGTCTCTAACGACGCTGGTAGTTGAACGGTAACTTTCCACGTTAAAGATATCAGTCAGTGAGCGATGCATCATACTCCGCGTCACGTCTTCTCCAAACATTTCATTTGCCCCTGTTCATCCATCACCCCACGTCAAGGTCTCACAATGACAAGGTCAGCCGAACCACAAACCAACAGCATATTTTCCCTTGCGAATCTGCATGTCAGACCGGGACGCCGCATAGTGGAGACGCTCGCGTCATCCCGCTCCGGTGATTCGACCGAACGATGCCCTTGGCTCCGTCCTCGGTCTTGGCCGGACGGATACCGGTGCCTCTCGCGCCCTCTAGGGCCTTGTCGCCAAGTCCGCCGAGCCTTGGGAGACCGGGATAGTCTCGCGCCTCCGCCCCCAGCTCCCACCCGCGATGCCACGACAAACGGCTGATGGAGGATTCGCTAATTCTCTTGTCCTATGTAATTCCAAGACCCTATGTTCATTACCCACTTCCCACGGCGCGCCGCGCCTATGAGTGGGCTTTCGTGAACCCCACGAAGCGTGGACAGAAAAGCAAGATTGCGTGCTTGGAATGAACGCCTCCTGGCGGCGGGCGAGAAGTGAAAACTTCTGCAGTCCAGACGGGTCACGTTCAATATTTCTCGAACTCAATAAGTAGACGAGCATCGACGAGCAGTCTGGTACGTACCAAGGGGCCGAGAAAGCATTCTTCCTCTCCTTTCCTTTTCTTCTCCACCTCGGACTATCTTACTCAAGGCGATCTCTTGTCCCTCAGGGTTTCATCATCCAAAGCCAGTTGCACCTCATACTTTGTTTCTCACTCACATGTTGACGACCAAAACTGCAACCTTATATCGCACTCTCGCCGAACGAAACCCGGCCTCTTCCGTCGGACCGGACCGGACCTGGGTCTTTCTCGGGCCGCAAGCATCAACACGTGGTGATGGACGTGCTCAAGAAAATCGGAGGATGGTTTGCTCCTCCGCCGAACAAAGCGGAAGACGGCCGTGATGCGTGGCCTTCAAGGGCCTCCTTTCTTCTGGCCTCCATGGGTGGCTGTGCCGGAATGGGCAATCTCCTTCGGTACCCATCCCAGGTGTACAACAATCATGGCCTGCAGTGGTACATCCCATACCTGATGGCCGTTTTCATCGTTGCCATCCCGGTTCTCGTACTCGAGATTGCCATTGGACAGGCCTACCGTGGTGGTAGTGTTGTGGCCTACGCGAATGTCAACCAGAGACTGAAGGGGTTGGGACTATCGTTGATCTACGTTGGCTTTGTTGTCACACCATACTTCGTCGTCAACTTGGCGTGGATTATGAGCTACTTCCGACATTCCTTCACCAGCCCATTACCATGGACCAACGAGCCCGATTACTTCTTCAACCGAAAAGTCGTTGCCAACGTTGACCCAATCGAGGGCAATCTAACGGCAGATGGTACCAGCGTTTTGAATTACACCGAGTATCCCGGTACTGCCCTATTGGGAGAGACGACCGGATGGGCAGCCTTCACCTTCTTTCTCATGTATATCTCCATTTTCCGCGGCGTGGGACTTACTGGGCGAGTCGTGTACTTTACGATGGGCCTGCCTATTGTTGTCACCATTGTCCTAATTGGTAGGTCTGTATCGCTTGAGAATGCGGGTGAAGGTGTGAAGCTCTACTTCGCGACGTGGAGAGGCGACCAACTCGCAAGAGGTCAGGTCTGGCAGACAGCTTGTGGTCAGGTACGAACGCCCTTATCTACCCGTTTTATGTTGAACTTCGAGACTCTTCGCAGGGTACTCATCAAAGATGCATTTCACAGACGATGAACTGACTATTATCTAGGTCTTCTTCAGCACTGGAGTAGGATTCGGCTACTTCACGTCATATGCCTCATATAACCGACAGTATTCCAACGCAGTCATGGATTCAATCTTGATCGTCTGCAGCAATGTGCTCTTTGAGAACATCGCCGCATTTGCCGTCTTCGGTGTCGTCGGGTACCTTGGCATGCGACCGGACCCAGAGAACCCCATCGGAGGCTTCAGCGTTGGCTTCCTCACTTTACCTCAGGCAGTGGCCGAAATGCCCGGTGCCAATTTCTGGGCTGTAGCATTGTTTTTCACACTCATGGTCCTCGGCTACAGCTCAGCATTCGCCATGTTGGACGCCATCGTTACCCTGGTTATGGACACGGGAATCAAGGCTAGCAGGCCCATAGTTGTCACGACTCTTACGATTATGTCCTTCCTTCTATGCCTTCCATACTGCACGGAGTTCGGCTATTACCTGCTTACTGGCATTGACCGGTGGACGAACGATGTTGCATTAGTCTTTGTTGTCTTTGCCGAATGCATTTCATCAACAAGTGTTTACCGTTGCAAAGATGTTATCGGACAAGTTGGCAAGCCAGCTTTTGTCATCTATAACACATGCTACATCCTAGCTATGGTCCTGGGAGTGGCCATTGCCCACGCTGTGCACCCAGGAGCTGGAGCTGGTGTTGGGTTCGGTATCTTCATCGGCGGAAGTATCGCCTCAAGTTTCATTGGGAAAATCCCTGACTCCATCCCGCCAAGGTTCTGGGGAAAGAACGCATTCATCAGCAAGTTCTGGTATCTGGCCTTCTACTCTGTAAGTATTCGTCTTCAATCAAAGAGAATCAGTCTAACGTCGTTGCCCAGGGAAATCAACTTCGGAGAGATCTCAACGTAGTCATCGGCAGCGGAAAGAACTGGAACATTCCGACATTCTGGCCTGTATTACTTCGCTACATTTCAGGGCCGATCTTGGCCATCGTCTACGGCTTTTCATACCCATCATTTTATGAACTCCGCTATGATCCATTGCATATCCTAGGCTTTGCTGTCGGCCACGTCGCTTTGATCTTGATTTTGGCCGGCTTCATAGTGCCGCGCTGGTTCAACGTCTTTATCCCAGCGCATCGTCGGAACGAAGGCAAGATGGCTTACGCCCCAAACGTCACCATCGGTGCAGACGAGGCTCAAGCTATCGCCGCTGGGACAATGGAGCAAGGAAACTCGCAGACTCACTCGCATTCGGACGAGGGTGTTGGCCGAAAGGAGTCACCTACCAATGACGGCCTCATTACAGAGGAGGAACAGAAGACCGCATTATAGGGCGTGTAGCTAGTGTCGGAAAGGGTAATTCAACAAAGCGAAAGGGCGCTTAAATTTACGAAGGATGATAAACCACGTTGGTTTGCAAATTACATGACATAGAATAACGTATCTCATCACTTTTCTTGATATTTACTCGGCAGAGGTTAAATCCATCTCCGCTGGGTCCATACGACATTCCGCCTACCGACCTAGTTGCATGTCTCGACTACCTAGTGTACGTAGAAGATCAAAGGCTATTTTACCAAACCAGCTCGAAGCTCAGTGCAATTGAGTCAGGACTTATGATTCAAAATTCTTAAAACAATTGTCGATCGACGCTCGGGGCACATTGAAACATCTGAAAAGCCGGACAAGCCGAGGCTTGTTGCATTCTATGCGGAGGGGACACGGTTCGCCGGTGCGGGGAGGACGGCTAATGGACTCCAGCTAGAACTGTGAGAATCCCATGATTAAAGTGCCATGAGGATCATCTATAACTAAAGCAACTCCATACAACTCGTTGATTTTCGGAAACTAGTCAAAAAAGCATCCTTGCCTTATTCCTTCGCAAGTCAACCAAATTTGACCATGCCTCTCAGGACTAATCTCCCAGGCCATCTCGCATCTCGCGCAAATGACACCGCGCGCATAGCATCGGCGTCCGGATCTGCAGCAGACAGACGCCATGGACTTGCCGAGCTCGCTCGGAATGAAGACATCCAGTACATTGTCGGCGACTGGATGTCAGAGTACAACATGACGTCAAGGGGCGTCGCGAAGGCGACTGATCCCACAAACTCGTCTGAATTTGAGCCTTCATTTCTCGAAGCGATCGAGCCTGCGCTGCAATACATGGATTCCAGGCGGATCAAACTTGCTGTCAACGCTGGCGCAAGCGATACCAAGAAGCTACATGATGTTCTATTACAGATGATTAGCGAGAAGGGCTTGAATCTTAAAGTCGCCTGGATTGAGGGCGACGAGGTGATTGATGTTGTTAAAAAAGGGCTGAAGTCTGGAGAAGGATTTAAGAATCTGACAACGGGTACTTCACGACCCAGCCAATCCCATGGCTTATGTTGCTAGATGCTGACAAGTCTAGGCGAAAATATCAAGGACTGGCCTTACGAACCCATCTACGCTCAGGCATATCTGGGCTGCTGGGGAATAGTCGAGGCATTCAAGCAAGGGGCTCACATCGTATTGTGCGGCCGTGTAGCTGACGCTTCGCCAACCATTGCATGCGCAGCATACCATCATGGCTGGAAGCGTGATGACTACTCACAGCTGGCGCACGCACTCGTCGCAGGTCACTTCATCGAATGCACGACTTACGTGACGGGCGGAAACTTCTCTGGGTTCAAGAGCTTGCCTGGTACTTCTGTCGAGATTGGATTTCCGATAGCCAAAGTCGAGGAAACTGGCGAGTTCACCGTCTACAAGCAAGCTCGAACGGGAGGTATGGTGACTCTGGAGACGTGCAAAGCTCAGCTCCTCTACGAGATCCAAGGGCCATATTACTACAACTCGGATGTCGCGGCCATCCTGGACAACATCAAGATGACGCAGGTAGGACAGAATCAAGTGTATGTCCCCATCACAATACCCATCAAAACCCCCACTGACATCGCTACAGTCGAGTCTTCAACGTCGGTAGTATGAAGCCTCCTCCGACTACAAAGGTTGGCATCACAGCCAAAGGCGGATATCAAGCCGAAGCCCATTACTTTCTTTGCGGCCTCGATATCAAAGAGAAGGCGGCATTGTTTGAGCGTCAGCTTCGCCACGTTCTGGACGTAAAGTCCTTCTCTTGTCTCAATTTCAGCACCAACGGCTCTTGTCCAGAGAACCCCGCAAATCAAGATGCAGCAACTGTCGATCTGCGCATCTTTGCACAAGCGCGCGACCAAGCAGCGTTGTCGCCCTTGAAGTTCCTGAAACCAATCGTGGACAACATCATGCAAAGCTACCCCGGTGCAACATTCCACCTAGACACGCGACAAGCAATCCCAAAAGAATACCATGAGTACTGGGTTAGCATTCTCCCGCAGAGCGCAGCAAAGCACGTGTGCCATTTACCGTGGAAGAGTCAAAAGGTCGACATTGAGCCCCCGCGGGACACTGTGGACTTTTTGTACGATCAGCCGACGTATGAGACCAAACGCCCGATCAATGTCGCGACCTTGGGGCCAACTACAAGGGCACCACTTGGGTATGTCGTACATGCGCGGTCGGGTGACAAGGGATCCGACAGCAACGTTGGATTCTTTGTGCGAAATGCCGATGAGTGGGATTGGTTAAGGTCGGTGTTGACGGTCGGGAAGATTCGTGATTTGCTAGGAGAGGATGACAAGGGTAAACCGGTTTTCCGGTTCGAGCTCCCACATCTCCATGGTGAGTTATCCTGTCCTGCGTGCATGTGTAAAGGTCGATGGTGTCGTGATGGACTGACATGGAGAAAGCTGTGCACTTCCTATTGAAGGATCACCTCGATAGGGGCGTCTCTGCTAGCTCGTCTTATGATTTCCTCAGCAAGAACTTGGCAGAGTATCTACGATGCAAGCATGTCGACATCCCGGACAGGTTCTTGGCTCGTGGCAGAATCTGAAGGGGGAAATGGAGGTATCCTTGTGAGGCAAAGACGCCGGAAGAGGTACATATAGGTACTTTTGCGATCCAAGATGGGTTACACCGAGGATCTGCGGCGTCAGCGGTGAAATTGCGGGCTAACCTTTGACCGTAGTATGACAAGCCTCACGATGATGTGGCTGGGTGATGACTTGGTACACCACAGAAGGAAGAGTTGTGGTAAAGCGAATCATGCAAGGAGAGAAAAGAGCCGAGCTCTTTGGTTCTTCTGTAGCTTATTACCTCGCCAAAAGCCCGACGAGATGGCGTGGGTTGCCGCTTATCCTTTTCGCCGTTTGATGGCTGGGGTCGAGTTAACTTGCAAAGGTGCTTCTTGTCTCAGACATATTCTCCGGTAAACTGAACCCGGACCTTTAGATCAAACGAGACTTTGATTGTCCCTTCTGGAAGTCAAGGATCCTTGCGCAGGAACACAATCAGAGTCACATTCTTTGGATGGTGGATGGTTGAGAGAACGGAAATCGGCGGCGCAACACTGTCTTCCCTGCTGTGGCAAAGCCGACGTACGCGCCATAGGAACAAAGTTGCCATAATACCGGTTTTACCTTGGTCCGTGTGTTCATCACATCCTAGTGCTAGGTATTGACTGACGGAACATTAAGCGTACATAGGTAGTAGGTCGAAAGCCCACGTGGCACAGTCTGACGGCCGACACAGCTCGCCAGGATCCCAAACCCTAGCATTCGGAAACGGGTTGGGGTGACGCGATGATGATAGAGTGGCGGACCAGAAAAAACAGGGCTGAGGCCCAAGAGCACACTCTTTCTCAAGATTGCCAAACAAATCACCGTCTGGGATTCGCAACCGGATGCGTAGTCCACCATGCCGGAATAGGCAGTTCTTGATGCCGGTCAATCATTCCTAGGGGGCCTTAGGGGCGGAATCCCCAACCCAACCCAACCGCCGGACCACTCACTCCATGAATCCACGTCTCCGGAGCGGCTGCTCCACTTCGCGCCGGGAGCTCGGGGGGTCTAAAAGATGTCCCACTGATCTCCTTTGCTTCTCGGGATGCTGCAGCCTGTAAGCCTGCAAAGCCACCACGGCTACCAAGGTGCTTTGACAGGACCCCTCCCTTGCTGTGCCACTGTTCCTGGAGTGCGTGAGAGTGAGTGAGTGAAAGAGTACCTCATAGCTTATCGGAGACTACTTGGCAAGCTTGGGCAGACATGGCGCTGTCTGTCAGGTATCACAATAGGATCAGCCCCTGGTGAGACGCCACGGCCATGAGTCTCCGAAACGTCATTTGTGGGTTTGCTTACTTACTTTAGGCATGGGATTCCCACTCTCCAGTCAGACTCATGATCTTGTTCAAGACCATCTCTACCGAAGTTCGCGGGAAAACTGACCTTTTTCCGGTTGCCATCCACCAGCACCTCGAATTCAATAAGTGCCACCGTTCTATTACGCCAGCTTCTCTTTCATGCTTCGAAGTAATCGGCCTCAGCACTATTCACCTCAATATCTAACCACTAAACATCAACATCATGACGAGACTCAGCGACGCGATCAAGGATGACCATCGGAAGATCGAGCAGGCATATCGATATATCCTCACATCAACCACTCTAGAAGACAAAGTCCGATGGAGGAATGAGCTCAGTCTCGAACTGGCAAGGCATTGCATCAGCGAGGAACAAGTCCTCCTTCCAATCCTCACAGATCGACTGGCCGATGGCGAGTCTCGTAGCGCCAGGAATCACACGGATCGCGAAAGCGTAAGTTTGGCATTGTCGCCCACCCATAGTCGCAACGGCAAATTGACCGGTCATTTCAGTTGAAGGGAAAGATTTGCCGCCTTCAAGCGATTCCAGTCGACGATGACAGCTTCGAAACCGAGTTAAAGGCTCTCTGGGTAGACCTGGCAGCCCACGTCCGCGATACCGACAACCAGGACGTGGCCCGGCTGGAAGAGTGCCTCACCATGACCGAGTCCGAGGAGCTAGCGAGGCAATTTCGGCTCACAATGTCCATGGCTCCGACGCGGAGTAACCCCTCGCCTGATCGCGGTCCGCCGTCTCAGCAGATCACAGACTTCCTCGCCACCGAAACTGGGCCTTGATTGCGCATGGCCCGGTTTTGCGGGGTTGGTGAGGAGGGAATTCTGGGGAAGTATGGGTGAGACGCCTCATGATATACGGCATTATGACGGAGCAAGACCCTAGTGGGCACAGTAGATATCAATCATTACGGGGTTCTTTCAGTATGGTAGTTGCACTCAAGATCACAGCCTGAATTTTAATATTCTGAGTACATCTCTCTTCTGACCTCGCATGTAACGAAACACACGATAAGCTTGGAACCGACCGACCCGGAGCCGAGCAACTCCGGGTGGGCCCGGTCGGTGTCAACCACGCCGAGTTTGCCCCGGTATGTCTTTGTCACTTTCACGTCATAAGACCACGACTTGCAGCACACCAGTGTCATATCCATCTGTCTTCCAACTTTGCAGTCCATTTTCTCCTCTGTAATCTTGTTGCGTCGGTACTCTTACCTTGCGGAGCTAGTGAAGGTAGTAGTGACTACGGCATCAGTAGCCGCCGGAGTCAACTCCGTTAGAGACCAAAACTGCCAATGCATGACATGTGCCATCACTCTCTTGGTTCATGCTTGGTTGTTGATCATGCTTTGGCAATGCGCGCCAAAGCCGAATACTCCATTGCGCCTGTAGCCCACAGCTTCCAAAAACCTGATTTAGCTCTGAACGTATGCAAGTTCATCACATGTGAGAGCATTCGCTCCACTTTACCATCACAAGGTGGTTTGAGCCTGAGTCAAAGATGCACTTTCTTAAAACTTGATTGGAATCGCTGTTACCCATCCGGCCGAGAACTTACATCAGAATTTCCCAATATGCAGTCTTGAGAGGCGAACTCCCCATCCCCCGCAAGACTTTCGGTGGTCGGCAAGACAAGCGGAGATCTAGTGCCCTTGGCCTCTGGAGTTGTTGATTTCCGTCATGTTATTTAAGCTGATTCCCCATGCTACGGCCATGAAATCCTACGGAACCCTCATTTACGAATCTTTGAAGCCAGCCCACAAGATTCCAACTCATCAATAAATATTCAAGATGTCGTACAATGAGTACGATCTACGAGACAAATACCCAACCCGCCGCCGGCACCACTCACCAGCCTACTCCGACTTGAGCGTCGGAAGTCCAGAGTACAGCCCGACAAGAGACGCCGGCGCTGTCCACGTCGCACACAAGCACTACGAGTCTCCTGATCGCAGAGGCCGCGTGGAAGTCTACGAAGAAAATAGATACAGACCAAGAACTAGAGACTACCACTATGAAGAGAGGCGTCCGCGATCGCGACCAAGATCCGAGGTCTACGACCACGACCGCGACCGCAGTCATCACAGCTACGGGCATGGACACCATCGCCACCACCGCCACACACAGAGCAGAAGCAAACGGAGGCACTCCACCTCCGGGCCCAATTGGGGTCAGGCCGCTGTCGCAGCTGCTAGTGCCGGTATCATTGAGGCGGGTCTGGCGCGGCATGACAGGGACCGAACGGCAAGAGTCGTGACGGCGGCGGCGGGAGCCGGGGTGATTGACGCCGTCGCTGGGAAGCATGGAGAGAAGCCGTCTAGAACGTGGGAGAATGTCGTTGGTAGCACAGTGGGCGGGTTGGTTGTTGATCGTATGGCTCATGGATCGGGACGCCGGCGTTGAGTGCACAACGAGGGATGCTGGAGGCCCGGAGTAGCGCTCGCGTTGAGCAATGAACCTGATTTGGTCACCACCTTCGTGATGTTGAAGGTACGCAATGCTTGCTCAAGCTTTCCTAGATCGTATCAAGTTTAGCAATTGTTCTACGATGAGTGTTCTTTATCCTAGTCTTCGGAAACAGTCCCGAATTCCCAGCTCACGATCTCCGGAGTCCGCAACTGGCCACCATCCGATCCATGTCGGTAAGACCAACAAGAGGTCCTCCCATTTGATTCCTGCCGGTGGGTGTCGGTGTCATTGGCCAGAACACTACTTACTTGAGACTAAGGGCGGCTTGTTACAACACTATCGCCAAGCGATTCGCGGAGGATAAATGAGCTTAATCTAAATGCCGGATGAACTGGCCCCGCCAAGCTAGCATTGGCACCTTTATTCCATTGTCAGTCTCACTTAGCGATGCAATCCGTTCTTGCCACCACCTCATGACCTTCCGCTCGTGGGATGCCGGAAGGGGTCGCCCCGTACTCGCCGGTCTGGAACGTCGTCGCGGTTGAGAGAGTCGTAAAGTCCGTTATGGACCATGTTCACGGCAGATTCGATATAAAATGATGAATGACCTCCCTTTCTCATGACCTGCGTGGTGCCCATTTGGATACTTGATGCTAAAGGGAAAGCACAACCTCTACAACATGAAGCTTCTCGGTCTCCTCGCTGCCGCCGGCCTCTGCCAGGCTCACACCATTTTCGTCTCCCTCGAGGCCGATGGCGTCGACAGCGGTGTCTCTCAAGGCATCCGTACTCCGGAGTACGACGGTCCTCAGACCGACGTCACGTCCCAGTACATCGCCTGCAACGGTGATCCAAACCCGACAAAGTCAACCGACAAAGTCATCACCGTGACAGCTGGTTCAACAGTGACAGCCGTCTGGCGCCACACCCTGACCAGCGGACCCGAGGACGTCATGGACGCCAGCCACAAGGGGCCAACTCTTGCCTACATGAAGAAGGTCACCGACGCCAAGACCGATCCCGGTACTGGCGCGGGATGGTTCAAGATTCAAGAGGACGGTCTGAGCAGTGGTGTCTGGGGAACGGAGCGCGTCATTGGTAATGCTGGGAAGCAGGCTATTACTATTCCCAAGTGTATTGCCAACGGACAGTACCTTCTCAGAGCTGAGATGATTGCCTTGCACGGCGCCAGCTCCTACCCGGGTGCACAACTGTACATGGAGTGTGCTCAAATCAATGTCGTTGGCGGGACTGCGGCCAAGAGCCCTTCGACCGTCAGCTTCCCCGGTGCTTACAAGGTATGTTGTTGAATAATTGTCATTAAGTCACATAATTTGCACTGTTTACTGACTATAGTTTCAGGGATCCGATCCCGGCATCACCATCAACATCTACTACCCCGTCGTCACGAACTACACAATTCCAGGACCCGCGAAGTTCGCTTGTTAAGTCTCAAGATTTGCTTTTAGCGGTTTTGGTGCATCAGTATCATCAGTGATATGGATGAACTCTTTGATGGTTGGAGATGGAGATTAATTTCATGTACATATTACCCAAGAAATCAAACTTGTACAAACTGTGAAACGTCGATGTTTACCAGACCTTCCATTACCTGAGGGTCTATTCTCTAGTAGTTGTGTAATCGGCATCAACTCCTTCTGTTTATTGAATTTCATCGCGTAGAGCTTGCAGTCAAATTAAGAGCTTTTCTCATCCCTGGACACACCCCCTGACACCACGCATAATGCTCATTGTTGATCAAAATCGGAGCGTCCTCTAGTCCAAAACCCTCGCCATCCTCAAACCACAGTAGACTGGCAATGCTTTGACTCTGCCTCTCAACGTAGACAGAATCCAGGTCGCTTTGGTCCAAAAGGCTCTTTACCATGAGAGAAGGATCCCATAGTTGCACCTGGTCTAGCCTCCAATCTGCCGCCTCTGCTTGAGCAGCCTGCATCACAGCCTTCAACGCAGCAGCTTGCTCTGCATAATCTTCCATCGGTATCATGATGTTTCCATCGCGTGACTTGTTCGCAGTCTCGTCTCCTTCTACCACAAGGCGGAGAATGTAAAGAACATTCTTATCATCTGCACCCTCAATGCTATGATGATCTGGGTGACTGTAGTAGCGACGAACCCAGGTAGCCCAGACCTGTTTCCCAGGCACTCCAGCGATTGCTCCCTTTATCACTGCCTTTTTACCAAAGATCTGCTTGGTGGCGAAGTCTTCTTTGCGAATGTGCCATAACATGTGATCCAAGTCTGGTAGAATAACCACTCGCTTGCATGACAGACTCGGTGTGGCCATGTCATTTTGTATCATGTCCTTGTCCCTGAGGCACAAGCTCTCTAGATGCGATTCGAAGATCGGGTGCGAAGTCGCAGGTATCTTCAACATTACAGGCGGCAATACCAGATGCCCGTTGATTGGGTTTGGTGTCCATCCCATCTTGGTATAATACTCCTTTCCTATGTCTGAGTACAAGACACTTCCAATGGCCTTTCCATCCTCGGACTGCCAACCGCGCAGAACCGTCGCCAACTCCTTCATGTGACGAGCTGCGTAGCCGCGGCCGCGAAACTTTTCTGAACAGAAGACGCTGGCGATTCCATGTATGATAACCTCCGTCATATTTCCCATGCTATCGCTTACGAGACACCGTTTGCGGAAGGTTTCGCATGAACAAAAGACGTCCCGCTCGTTTGGTGGCCGGCTTTTGTCAACGAGAACCCAGGTGGTCATGCCTCCGTCTCTTGCAAGTGGAACTGTGGTGAGGTACGCGGACTCGAGGATGTACAAGGGCAGAGTCAAAGAATCTTTCCATTCATCAGCCGCAATTGTCCATATCTGGATGCATTCTTCGGGTGTAGGATGGGCGAGGTGTAGATCTGGGGAGGAGGAGCTAGCGATTGCGACTTTTGACTCCGCCCGTGTACTTGTTAAGGAAGCCATTATTTGTCTCAAGAAACGATGTGGCCGATTGACGTTCAATTTGAGGTGATTTCAAGTCATTGGAAGCTTAAAGTTATTCCACAAGTTTAAAGTGAACTTGCGCTAACAAGACAGCGGCTAAAGCCCTGAATAGTGTTATGACCCCCCTGCATATTGCACACTTTGATGAGCGGGGCACCCCGAAAGTTGCTGTTATTACCCGAATTCGTGATCAAGACAATGCGTGCTTTCATCAGCGATAGCAGTGACGGAAAGTTTGCTGGCATGTCACTTGACGTTGACAAGATAGTCTGAGGTTTTAAATCTTCAAAATTTACCAGTCTATTCACAGGTAATGAGTTCTAAACTGAATCTACAGATGAACTGAATCGAGCTTTTCATACACAATATCCCCGCGCTCAGTGGCGGTGGGGAGCTCTTCCAAGACGCATGGGTCTGCTGCGAGCGTGCCGTCTGGCATGCGCAGCAGCCGGGGCCGTACTGGAGTTGGAGACAGGGCACGAGGTGTACATGACACCGCGGCCGTTGGTACCAACATAGACAACGTTGGCCTCGTTGGCGGAACCAACAAGAGCAGCGCCGTCGAGAGCGCCGAAGCTGTAGGTGCCCTGGAGGTCAACCCACGAAGCACCGAGATCGGCGCTGGCGTAGAGCTTCTTGCCGTCGGCGGCCTCGCCAAAGACGTACAGGTTCCAGGCGCTGCCTTCGCCCTTGCCGACGGAGACGGCGTGGGCGTTGGAAGGGCCGGAGATGGAGGTGAAGGTCTTGCCAAAGTCGGTGCTGTGGAAGACGCCCGAGTTGGTGGAGACGAACAGCTCGCCGGCTGTGGCAGGGTGGGCGGCGATGAAGCGGATTTCAGTAACATTGCCCAGGGGAGACTCGGTGAAGGTGGCTGCACCGTCGGTGGAGACGTAGAAGGTGGCCTTGGAACCGGCGTAGAAGACGTCGTTCTTCTTCTTGTCGCTGGCGATGACGCTGCTCGCGGGGAGGGTGCTGTTCTCGGGCTTGCCTGCGTTGCGGATGACCTGGACGCCCTCGCTCTTGGAGGACCAGAGAATGACATCGCCGTCGGCGGAGTAGGCAACGGAGCCGTCGGTGATGGTGTTGCCGGTGGAGTTCACAACGGACCAGGTCTCACCGCCGTCGGTGCTGAGGGCAAGCTGAGGAGAATCGGTGGCCTTACCGATGCGAGCAACCTTGTTGGGGCTGTTGCCGGCAAAGTCAACATCGACACTGCTGGCCCACCAAGGGTTCGTCCAGGCCGATTGAGGGGCCTTGTCGACGTCGGCGGCGGTCTTGTAGGTGAAGCCGTTGTTGTCAAGAGTCGCGAAGAAGAGCTCGGGGCCCTCAGCGGCACTGGCCAAGGCACCGACCGCCATCTCCTCGATGCCGGAAGCAAGACTCTGGATGGTGATGGTCTTGTTCTTGTCCCAGTTGGTCAGGTCGTTGCTACCGTACAGGGTAAGGCCGGTGCCGTAGAAGAACTTGTCGCTGTTGGTGGGGTCAATTGAAAGGGACTCAATCATCCAGCCGAGCTTCTTGGTGTCGATGTCGAGGAAGTTGGTCTCGATCCAGGGAGCGTTGGGCGCGCTGATGGTGTACTGCGGCGCGACCTTGCCATCGGCACCGTAGCCCCAGATTCTCTTCCAGGTCGCACCGGAGTCAGTGGAGCGGAAAAGGATGGCATCGGGGTACCAGCTGTTCAGGGTCGCGACAACGATCGTTCCAGGCTTTTGCATATCGACACCGAGTCCACCGAAGCCGTAGTAGAGATCGCTGCCAGTGGTAGGGGTGATGTCGGTCCACTTGCTCGTCGTAAGGTCATACTTCCAGACACCACCCTGGGTGCCATCGTAGGGGCCGGTTCCATCGGAGTAGGTGAAGTAAATGACCTTCTCGGCGGGTTGAAGCACAGCCTTGTGAGGGAAGAACTTCTTGGGCTGGCCATCGACGGGGCCCCAGGTGGCACCGGCGTCAGTGCTGACGTAGACGGACGCAGTAGTGTTGTCGGCGGTTCCAACAAAGATTCTCGAGGTCGCACCGTTGACGACGTCGGAGGTCTCGTCGAAGGTGACGAAGGTCAGACCTTGAAGGTCACCATTGTAGGCATCGCTCGCGGCGCCGGGGCGGAAAGTACCGACGGCCTCGAAAGTAGAGACCTTGGAGAAAGTCGCACCTAACCAATTATGCTCTGTCAGAAAACCGAATCGAGGGTAAGGTAGATCGTGAGTGGGATTCTGCTCACCAGCGTCTGTGCTCTTCCACAAACCGTTGCCGCTGCGGGCACCAAAGAAGATAATCTCCGAGTTCTTGGGGTCGACAGCCAACCGCTCACCCATTCCACGGCCGGGCATGTTGCCGCCGACCTTGAAGGGAAGAGTGGTGGTCTCCCAGGTCTCTCCCTTGTCGGAGCTGCGTGCGAACGTTCCATTCTTGGGGTCCCTGCTGTGGTTTAGCTTCGATGCGGGATAGCAAACTGAGTTGCAGAGCAGTGCTTACCAGTCGTTCGTGTACATGCCAGTAGCAATGTAGACCTTGTTCGCATCCTGGGCGTCAACCGCAAGAGCGTCGATGCCCCATCGGTTCCAGTTGGCGTCATCGGCAAATCCGTTGGCGTCGGTGATGGGGGTCCATGAGTCGTCGGCGTTCAGT